CCCAGGAAGAGGTGACACCTGACCGAAGCCTGACTTGCAGTTAGCCAGCTGGAGCGCACGCGGAGGAGCACCTGGCGGAATGTGAGGAAGGAGGTGAGCCCATGGCACCACCTTCGGGGACCTGTGTTCAGGGGCCAGTGATTTGAAGGGCTGGGGATGCGGGCTGCTGAGGTGGGTGCTTCTTGTTCCCAGAAGCTGGAGCGCCTGTGGAGCGGCACAGCTGTCCTCGGCTCACCCCTCCTGCCCCAGGGGTTGTCGAGGGGCCTTTGCGTCACCCCCTTTTTTTTCCTGCTTCTCTCACATGCTGAGAGTTATTTTTAAAGCCACCCAGGGTGCTTGCTCCAGGCATCCTAATTTAACATTCTCTCCGCTGCCCAACTTCTTAACAGATGTAAGAGTCAAGAGTGCCTGCGGCCTCCGCCTCGTGGGCCAGTGTTACGTCCGCATTACTCACCCGCCTGCACCACCAGACACCCCCACCTGAGACCCTGGCAGGCAGGGGCGTTCTGAGTCAGGTCTGAGTCGCAGGCCTCTGCGGAGCAGGCAGCAGCCTTGGGATGCTTATTTAGGGCTGCTCTGTGCCACAGGCCCTATGCCGGGCACTTCAAACCGGGGCCCTGGGGCCAAATCCGGCCTGCTTGTGCAGGCCCCTGAGCTGAGACTGGGTCTTACATTCTTAGGGGGGTGCAAAACAGGAGGCTAAGCGACACAAGACTGTACATGGCCTGAAGATAGGTTTGCCAGATTTATGTAGCAAATAAAAATTCAGAGTGCCCGGTTAAATTTGCATTTCAGAAAAACAATAAATAGTCTTTTCGTGTGTGTTCTTTGCAACATTTGGTCTGTACTTACACTAAAAAAAAAAAAAAAAAAAATCCGAAATGTAGGTTTCAGTGGGCACCCATGCCTCCTCTGGCAGCCCTAGCCCATGGCCTGAAGTGGCTGCTGTCTGCCCCTTCAGGGAGAAAGTCCGCCAACCGCAGCCTTACGTGCAGAGCCGATGAGATCGGGCGTCTGAGGGGCTCGGGCCACTGCCCGGAACTGCGCACCGCGAGCGTTAGCTGCTGGCCCCAGCGGCATTAGCATGATCAGAATGACCACCAAACTAATGCCTTCGGCACAGCTGGGCAGTGCCCTAGGGGCTCAGGACCTACTGGGGCAGGCGGGCACAGAACGGATAAACCCGCAGGCTTAGAGCGAAAGGCCGTGGTAAGTTCTAAGGACAAGCAGGTGCCCTATTTCAGACAGGGCGTTCTGAGCCCTTGCCCCTTATTGGAGCTCTGCACGTTTTTATGGAATCCTCACATAGCAGCCCTGCAAGGTGGTGCGGCGTCACCCCCGTTTCACAGACGAGGACACTGAAGCCTGGAGTCACCCAGCTCATAGCAGAGCTGGAGGTTGGCCGGGGCCCAGTAGCTTTCAAGCTCGTGTTCTTACCCGGTGCACTAGTGCCGCCCTTTACGTGCCGCCAGCTGCGTGCTGGGCCCTGCCCTTTGCCTGCGTTTCCCATAATCCTTCCGATCACCCCGAGCACTGGGTCCTGGTCCCTTCTCTCTCAGCTTAGAGGACGTGAACGCAGCGCAGTGCGGGGAGGCAGGGAAGAGTGGCAAGTTGATTTGGAACCTGGCAGGTCTGAGGTGGGCAGCTTGAGGAAGCCTGGGTGTGGGCAGGTGGCAGGTGTGAGGAGCGGGTTAGACGGGGCAGGCCTGGGAGCCCCAGGAGCGCCCCTTGTGGCTTTGCAGATAGGCTAGGATTTCCCAGCCTGACTCCCTTCTGAGATTAATCCTCCTTTTACGTTGTTTAAATATTTGCAGGTAGAGGGAGGGGTGGCGGGAGGGCAGGGCTGGTTTCCGGAAGGTTTGTGGCGTGGGGCCTGAGGTCTGATCAGCTGGTACTCTGAGGCCTGAGCTGGAGGGCTGGGGCCTGGCCAGCCCCCAGGGTGAACGAGGCCCTGGCTTGAGCGTCCACTGCGGGCCAGGCAGGGAACTGAATAGTTGCTATCAGCTCAGGAGTCGCTACTGTTGGTGACCTGGTGCAGGTGCCTCTCCACAGTCTCTCTCAAGCCTCCCGTTAGCCTTGTGAGGTAGGGCTGCTACGACCATCCGCTCCGCTGTGCAGATGGGTAACTGGTCCAGCACCAAGCAGGCAGCGAGGGCCAAGGATCTGACCCCGGTCAGCGACTCCCCACTCCGGGCTCTCAGCCCCTCTCTGCTGCCTCCTGACACCCTGTCCCTGGAGCTAACCCAGTTCCAAAAGGGGTGAGGGCCCCATTGTGGAAGGAGTGAGAGCCGCTGCTGGGGGAACCCTGAGAATGGCTGCCAGGCAGGCGTAGAAGCTTCCTGACCATCTTGACCATTGCGGACCCCTGCTCCTGACAGGCCCCCACAGGAAGTGGTTGGCACAGTCAGATCCAGGTGACTCAGGTTTCCTGAAAATACTCCAGCTCGGGTGCCTGGGCACACCCCGCTCCCACCATGCCCCACACAGTCCGCTGCACCTGCCGCTGAGCCTGAACTCACTCTCTGTCCCTGTATTTCCAGAGGATGCCGAGGTTGGGGTACCTAGCAGGCCCCTTCTGGCAGGCCCCTTCTGGCAGGTTCTCAGACACTAGATTACAGGCCAGCACCACTGTATCCTGCCTCAGGGGAGCAAAGAAAGTGGGGGGCAGTACTTGGGGCCTGGGGGAGAGGTGGGCAAAGGCTCTGAGACCTTGTGGGTTTAATGGCAGGTTGTAGGGGGAGCTCAGCCCCTGGAGTCAGGCAGCCCTGGGCCCGAGCCCCGCCTCTGCACCTCAGCGGCTGTGTGACCCCGGGCAGGCTCCGCCGCCTCCCTGTGCCTCTGCTTCCTCCCGTGACAAACAGCTAGAACAGTGCCACTGCTCTTTCCCCACAGTTCTGGTGACAAGAAGGCATTCTTCAGTTAAAATATTTTACCAAAGCAGAATTTCACCGTGACCTTCAAGCCATTCATTCCTCGGAGAGAACGTCATTGAGCACCTGCAGTGTGCCCGAGGCAAGGAAGGCTGTGAAACAGGGAGACGGGCCGCCCTCACAGGTCTGCGGCCCAGCAGGGAGGGCAGGTGTTGATGACGTCATTATCAATCTGATGGGTGTCACAGAAGCAGCCGCAGTGGGAACCAGGCGATTTTAGCCTCTTGCGCAGGTGATGTTTCAGCCAAGACCAGAGTAGCCGTGAAGGAGGCCAGGCGAGGTCCTAGGCAGGTGACTTGGGCGTGCAGCTGGCACGCACTGCACGCACGCTGTGCGCCCTGCTCTGTGCACAGCATGCGGTGTTTTTTTTTTTTTTGCGTCACCTTGTTTGGGCCTCCAAGGCCCCTTGAGAGAAGCCCCGCCCCTGTCAGCCCTTTACCCAAGAAGAAAACCCAGGCTCCGAGAGGTGATGCGATTTGCCTGAGGAAGCTCAGCTGGGAGCCAGAGGGCCGGCGGCGGCAGGCGGGGCCAAGATGGGAAAACCTCCAGGATGGGATTCTAGGTGTTGCCCTGTGGCTCTGCAGACTTGGGTGGGCCAGGTTGCCTCCTTGAGCCTCCATTTCCACATCTGTAAATAGGACCAATTCCACAGGCCCGGCTGGATAGCTTTCGGGTTTAGAAGTGCTGCCGGCCAAGCCCAGCTTGGAGCTTGCTGCGCCCGGAGGTCGGCAGCTGTTCGCGGGAGGGGCCGACTCGATTGTGTGCAGCGGGGGTGGTGTGCCGGCTCTGCGGTGGCACCGCCGCGTGTTTCTCTGGCGAATGTGACCAGGGGTGCTCTGAGGCCTATCTCCCGCTCCAGGAAAGAGGAGAAGCAGAAGGCAGGGGAGAGGCTCAGAGAGCCTAAGAGGGCCCTCGCGTGGGTGCGTTGGCGCGCCGGCCCAGCTGCGTCGGGATGGGCCACAGAGCGTCCGGGAAGGAGGCGGGGCCCGCTGGGCGGCGGCGTGGTGTTGGGGATTCAGGCCTTGCTCCCTTCCCTCCCTGCATCCCAGCCGCTGTGATCGAGGGCTGGGACCACCCGTTGAGAGGGTCTCTTCTGACCTCAGCCTCAAGGTGGGGAAACAGGCCCAGAGAAGAGTCACTTTGCTAAAGCCCCACTGTGACCCTGGGCCCAGAATCCACCAGAGCAGGAGGGTGTTCAGGCCTCCGTAGTGCCACCTTTGTGAGCAGGGGCACGGCTGCCCTCTCAGGCCTGGGCCCTGTGTCTGGCACCTCAGAGGTGCTCGAGAAGTGTTTGCTGAGTGACAGCCTCTAGCAGGAAAACCACGGAGCCTGGGAGTCGGACCCAGGCTGGAATTCTGGGCCACGTCTCCACTCTGAGCCAGCTCCACTGCTCTGGGCAAGTCGCATCACTGCCCTGAGCCTCTGTTTCCGAAAATAAGATCCCAGATCCAGCAGGGATCTGAAACCAGGTCTGCTGGGTTCCAGGGCTGAATTTTCACACGACCCTCCTGATTCTTTTATATACCTGTTTCACTCATTCATTCACTGATTCACTCATTCACCCGCTCATTTAGAAAATCTTTATTGAGCACTTACTGTGCACCAGGCCCTGTGCTAGGCTCCATGGATACAGCAGTGAACAAGGCAGACGAGGCCTCGTCCTCAGGGACTGTGTAGGCCAGAAGAGGGAGGGAGACAGCAAACACACAGAGGACAGGACTGGTGTAAGTATTCTGTACCAGAGGGGCTCTAACAGTGGGGGATAGAGACAGGGGTCGGGGGAGGGGACCGCTGCCTTAGGTAACGTGATCAGGACAGGAGGTGACATTTTGTGCGATAGGCGCCAAGAAGCGCGCCGTGCAAAGAGCCTGAACGAGTAACGCGGTACAGCGTGAAGTGTGGCGCCGTCCCAGGCCACAGGCCTCGGACCTTCAGAAGACATGGTGAGAGCGGTATGGAAGGAAAGCAGGTGTCAGAACGCCCCAGACGGCCTGGGCAGGCCCTGGGGGCAGGGGTGTCTGCGCCCCAGGTGGCAGCAGGGCATCCCCTCCAGCTGCCGCTGCCTTCCAGGTGAAGCAGATCATGGAGGAGGCCGTCACACGGAAGTTTGTCCACGAAGACAGCAGCCACATCATCTCCTTCTGTGGTGAGTCCGGGGCCCATGGCCTTGAAAAGTGGCTGCCCGCTCTGTGGGCTGCTTTAGGGAAGTGGCGTGTGGCGTGTTTGAGCAAGGGTCGCACGTCTTTTTTTTGCTCTGTAACTCTGAAGTTATTTCCAGATTCCAAAGGGACTTTAATAGGGAGCTGGAAAATACAGAAAAGTCTAGAGGAGAAATTAAGCACGAGCTCTGGACCCCACGAAGAAGCAATTGTGGTTGCCGTGGGAGGCCCGCCTCCCCTCCTGTGGGCCCAGTTCCTGCAGACCCTGCCCCGAGGGACACGGTCTTGCGTCTGAGAAATGGGCCCCGCCCTTTCATCGCTCTGCCTATGGCTTTTGCCAAGTGAAGGAAGGGGATGGATGGGGACTTAAAAAAAACCACGGAATTAAGAGCTGTTGACATATCCTGAGGGACGTGTCCAGCTGGCTCAGCAAAGGAGGCAGGACCAGGGCTCAGAGCGTGACTCAGGCTTCCGCCCTTGAACCGGCCACACTTACAAGGGCAGAAGTAACTGCACTGCCAGGCTCTTGCTGTACATTCTGATGGCTTGGGAGACACGTGTTTTGCGTGTCCCTGAAGTCAGGATTCAGCTCCTAGTTGGTGTCGACATATAAGTGGGAGTGTTTCTTCTCTCTCCTTCGGAAGCTAGCGATTTCATGACTGAGTGTCCCGTAATGAAGGACATGCTGTAATTTCCCTCATGACCTTGGCCGCATGGAGAGGCCCGCCAGCTTCCGTCCAGGTGCCTGGGGACACCTCCCATGGGTCTGTGACATCCTCAGCACACACCATGACCCGGAGCCCACTGATGTCAGTTCAGCCCCTTCGCAGTCGGGGAGACCTGGATTCAGGTCCCACCTCTGCCACTTTTCTGTTGATGAATTTGACAAGATCTTATTTTTTAAGTGAAATATGTTTATTTAAATATATATATGTATGTGTGTATATATAGATACATAGGTATATACAAATATATATACGTGTATATATACACACACACACGCATATGACAGTGATGTGCTATAAGTATACACATATACACACACACACACAAACACAACTTTTTTTTTCACCTGGACAATTTTATTTGCAAATAGTATGCATGTCCATTTCAGGAATTGCTAACATACCTGTCTGGGCAATTCAGTTCACCTCTCAAACTTCCGTTTCCACATCTGAGAAGTGGGGGTTGTTGTCCCTGACTGGGGTGGGGCTTGAAGGAGCTTCATCATGGCATCTGTTCCCGGGATCACAAGTTTGAAAGCTCAACAGTCCTGTGGTCCAGGGTCCCCTCCGCCGTCAGCAGGAGGCGCAGGGAACAGCCGTGAAGACTCACTGCCTACTGGGCCTATGCTGAGTGCCTCCTGTGCATTTTCACCTTATCCTAACAGCAGCCTGATGAGCTTAACGCTCAGGCCGTCCCCACTGTTCAGAGGAGGAAGTAGGCTCAGGGAGGGGCAGCCACTGCGCCGCCACACAGCGGGGGTAGGCGTCGGGAGAGGATGTGAGGAGAGGAGGTCTGCCCTTGGGCTGTGAGTGGGATCTGCCACTGAGCATGCTCTCCCCCTTCCTGGGGGCGGGAGGTGGAGGGCACACACGCTTTGCCCTGTGATGCCATCACGAGGCTGTGATTTGGGGCTCTCCAAAGTGCCCACGTCACTGAAACGCTAGCCAAGCTGCATGGCAGGGAGCGTGGGCAGGGCAGGGCGCGCTGACCACTTTGTCCCCGCAGCGGCCGTGGAGGCCTGCGTCCTGCACGGGCTGCGGCGGCGGGCGGCTGGCTTCCTGCGCAGCAACAAGATCGCGGCTCTCTTCATGAAGGTGGGCAAGACCTTCCCGCCCGCCGAGGAGCTGAGCCGCAAGGTCCAGGACCTGGAGCAGCTCATTGAGACCGCGTGAGTGCAGAGCGCAGGGCAGGCAGGGGCAGCCCCCAGGCATGCCTTGCTCCCCGGGGCTCTGTGAGGCCCAGCACTCTCTCCGCTCCGTCCTGCTCCTCAGGCCACTCCGGGGCCTTTGCTCATGCCATGTCCCCCACCCGGGTCACATCCCTCATCTTCCACAGCTGGTTCCTTGTCATCATTCTGGCCTTCCCCTGGCGAGGGGTAAATTCCAACCCTCACCCCATTTCTCTTTCTTATCACCTTGTTTACTTTCTTCCCAGTTCTCACCATCTATAATCATTCATTTATTTGTTTCCTATTTATTTGATTGTTGTCTGTCTCCCCGTGTTGACTGAACGCCATGAGGACAGGCGGCTACATCTGTGTTATTCCCCATTTTGTCCCCAGTGTCGGGGAGAGCCTAGCACCTGGTAAATGCCCAAGAAACGAGTGCTGAATGAGTGAGTGCCTGTTGTGAGCCAGGCCCTGTGCTGAGCGCAGCCAGACCTGAGTTTCACAGAACCAGTGTGGCCTCTTCACGCGGGCCTCCCATGAAAACGCACCTCAAGGCAGCGTCTAAAGGGGAGAGGTGGCTCCACTCACTCATCTTGAGGCCTGATTATGTGTGTTGGGGGCAGGCTCCTGGCCTGAGAGGTTGTGCGGAAGCACCTCCCACCTGAGTCCCTCCCAGAGTACTGACGGCGCCGCTGAAGCCCCAGCCTGGAGCCTGGTCAGGGACAGCAGACAGGTTTCAACTCCAGTTCGTGTCAGTGGCTGCCTGGAGGACGGTGCTGTGAGGAATTCAGAAGCTGGGATTGGGCTCCTTGGGAAAGAGTGCATGGATTGATTAACCACATCTGTTACAAGGAAAGGGCAGGAGGCATGTGTGCCACGTGTTTCCCATCTCTGCCATGGGTGATCGCTGCTTCTCACTGGATGAGACACAGCGCTTTCCTCCTCCTTCAGCCTCTGCCTGCCCAGGGCTGCTGGCCGGAGCCACACAGTGGGCAGGGCTCTGGACTGGGCATAGCCAGCCCCAACCTGGTATCTGAATCCGCAGCCACCTGGTCTTTAGGTGCCTTCCAGTCCATCTGCTAAATTCCCAGGTGGTGTTGATTAACTTCTTATAGGGAGGGGTTTCCATGGGCCTTCCATACTACTATCGGGAGAGACTTGGTAAGAGAGGATTAGAGATACCCATGCCAGGTGGGATGGGAGAGCCATGCGTCCACGCATGCAGTCACGCATTTATGAATGTACACATTGAGCCCCTTGTATGTGTGAGGCACTCTGCCTGGCCCTGAGATGCAGACATGAAGAGGAACCCTTCCTGCCCTGAGAGTGGTAGACTCTCAGGAAGTGTTATATTTTTAAAAATAATTGGATCGCTTAGTCCTTGCCTTTAGGGTCACATGGGGAGGGGAAGACAGAAAGGTGAGCAGGAAGTTATGCTTCAGAGTCTGAGGGGGCTCCGGGGAGGCGCCCCTCCCCCAGACTGGTCTGAGAGGACTTCCTGCGGGAGGGGATGTCCCGCTCAGACCTAAAGAGTGAGAAGGGGTGTGGGGGAACGCAGGGAGAAGCAGAAGCTCAGGGCAGGTCCTCAGATGAGAGCCTGATGGCCTCAGGGATCTGTAGGACCCTACGTCTGGCTGGATCGTGAGGTCAGAGAGGAGGGCGATAGGGGATGGATGGAGGTGAACAGGAGAAGGGTCACCGAGTGCCCTGCCTATGGTCGTTAAGCTTGCTTCTCAAGGGCAGTCAGGAGCCACTGAAGGATCTGTAATCCAAGAATCTTCGTGGCAGCACTCCTTTCCAGCAGAGGTAGGTAGATAAGTAGACAGATACTGAGAGAGAAATAACAGTATGAGATTCTGGCTTACCCACTAATAGTGTATGAAATTTGTCTGTTTTACCACACCTTCACGTTCACTGGGTATTATTTTTTTTCAACTTTTTACTCGTTTACCAGGAGCAATATAGTTTGTTTTCATTGCCATTTCTTTATTTCCTAGAGAGGCTGGACATTTTTCCATTTGCATATTGGTCTTGTTGGATTTTCCATTTTGTGAATATCCTTTTTCCTTTATTTATCTCAAAGGCGAAACCAGATCCAGGGCCTCCAGGAGAATGTGCGGAAGCTGCCCAAGCTGCCCAACCTGTCCCCACTTGCCATCAAGCACCTGTGGATCCGCACAGCCTTGTTTGAGAAGGTCTTGGACAAAATTGTGCATTACCTTGTGGAAAACAGCAGGTGAGCTGGGTGCACGCTGCCTCCACCTGCTGGTAGCCTTGGGAATTGCACCTCTTGCGCATAAATACTTGAATCTGAACTAGCCTAGCTAAGACCCTTGGGAGTATTCAGGGGTTTAATAGCAACGATGGGGCTTCACATTTGGTGTGGGGCATGAGAATCTTGAGATCTTGGCGATCTTCCTTCTCCGGTGAACTACGCCCACAGTCTTCTCACTAACCGTGTGGCCGTAGGGAAATCACTTAGTCTCCTTGCACCTCTGTTTCCTCTTTTGGTGAATAGGATAGGAGTTGCCGCCACTCCAGAGAAAGGCGAGAAGAGGAGTTAGCCAGTGCACAGCATCTAGGAAGTGCAGAGTGACTCTCTACTCTTTCTCTCCTGGCTTAGAATGACCTGATGTAAAGGTTTTATAGTATGAGCCCTGTTGGCAAGCTCTCGACCTTGTGTTCATCTAGTCAGTGTGTAACGAGCAGCTGCAATACTGGGAGCCAGGCACTAACCTAGATGCTGGGGATGCATTGGTCTCACCTGTAACGCTCTGCCAGGAGCAGAGGGGAGCCCCTAAAGAATCAAAACCGGAGATTCCTCCCGGCCAGCACTTCTTTCAGCCAGAGAGAAAGAGAGAGAAACGTAGGAGAGAGTCTCCCCATCTTTTGGTATACGGAAGTGTCTATTTAACTACATCTTGACACACAGTAGGTACTGTTATCTTTTATTCTTTTTGCCTGTTTGCCAGCAAAATATCTCTGACAGGACAGAGCAAGGCCCTTCCCTTGTGAAGCTGACATTGTAGCAGGGAAAGCAGTCAAATAGTAATTGCTCTAAAGACCGATGGTTGGTGTCTGATCTCCTCCAGGTGGTCACAGCAAGTGTCCTGGAAGGCATGACGGTTGGGCAGCCAGGGGAAGGGTGCACAGGCATTAGCCTGGTGAAGGGGGTGGGGAAGAGTGATCCCGCCGGGAACGGCCTGTGCAGAGGCCCTGAGGCGGTGGGGAACTGCAAGAAGTCTAGGCTCCAGGGCTCCGGTCATTCTCTTCCCTTTCTTGTAAATCGTAACATGTCTCTGACCCCTGCCCTCTATAGGCCTGGGGCCTCTGACGCTATTGCCTTTGGTGTGTGACCTTGTGTTTTCCTACTGAGTAAGTCAGTCAAAAGGAATTAGTAATTATTTGAGCAGCAATGCCAACCTCCTGCTGCTTCTTTAAAGTTTTTACTTTGAGTTTTAAATTCACACAGAGGTTGGAGTAGTCGTTCAGGGAGTCCTTGCCTCTCCCCAGTGGTAACATTCTACGTAACCAGAGTACAAGCCTCAAAGCAAGGACTTGCCGTTAGTACAGCACTGTTATCTAAGCTATTAACTTCTTTTGGATTTCACCAGTCTTTACATATATTCATCTTTGTTGCTATATAGTTCTATGAAATGTTAATATATGTATTGTTTCATGTAAACAACACACTCAGGATGCAGAACCGTTTCAACGAAACCCATCACCCCAGAGAAACTCCCTCAGTTACCTTTATAGTCACATCTTGCTCCCCACCCTTCCTGCTATTTTTAAGGCAGGATTTACAAGGTTTACAGTCACATAACTTCTGATTTTTGGAAGGGACACGGAATGATGGAGTGGAAAGTGTCTCAAAGTATCATATTCGGATCTGACACCAAAGTAAAATGGCAGTGACATTGCAGCCATTTAGCAAGACCTTCCTGGTGTCAGAGTCTGTGCTGCGGCCACACAAGCAGGTTAGCATTTACCCCTCCCAGCAGCTGGGCGGGCAAGCTCTGCCCTTCTTCCCGTTTTGCACTGAAGCTCACAGCGGCTCGTCGTGCCCGGGGACACACAGCTGCGAGGGAGGCAGTGCCCGGCTGGGCTCCCATTCAGGCAGCCGGACTCCAGATCCTTTGTCTTTCACCCTCAGCTGTAGGAGGGGAAGAGGCAGGCCTGCTGGTGGTAGCCCATGCCTGCACCCACCTGCTGGGTGGCCTCCGGCAAGTTGCTTACCTTCTCTGAGCGGAGATCCCTCAGGGGGCCGGAACCAGGTCCTTTCCAATGCTGAAATTCTGTTCATCCCTAAACTGAGACTTAGAAACCACTATACAACAACTCAAACAAAATCCGAAAACATCCCGCCCAAACATGGTAGTATTGATGGCTTTACATGCTGTTTTGAAGAGTCAGAGGCCGGGGGGGCGTTTCTGGGTGTGCCAGACCAGCGTTGTCCACGCTAGTTATCCAGACAGGAAGGCCTGTTAATACAGCCTTTGGGATAACCGCAGCTTAAGAGCATTTTATTGCCTCAATAACATTAGAAGGGTAGATACCATCTGTGCCTCTGAACGACTTCCTGTCTGAAATGGAAGATGTAGTGGAAGTGGAGAAGAGCAGCCAGGCCTCGGCAGCCTTGTGTAATGATTATTCCTGTTACCTAGTAAGGCTTTCGTTACAGCCCATGCTGAACTACGCACCTCACATCTGTCGTCTCCCTCAAAAGGACTTCCAACAACCCCGTGAGATATATTATTACCCACATTTTACAGATGCGGCAGCTGAAGCTTACAGAGGTAACCACGTGACAAGAATGGGTATGAACCCAGGCTGTCTGCTCTTAACTACCTGGCCGAGCCGTAGTGGATTGTGCACCTTCTGCTGGTCACCATCCAAACCTGCATGCTCTTTCCTCTCTTGCTAGTAAATACTACGAAAAGGAAGCGCTCCTGATGGACCCCGTGGATGGCCCCATCCTCGCATCTTTATTGGGTAAGTGGTCTGGTCCTCTGAACTCCGTTTAAATTTCTAATTTTGACTCACGGCGCACCTCCTAAGGGCCTCTCTCACCTCCCTCCAGACTCCCCCATCAAAACGTACCTGTTCCCTGTCTCTTGCTCCCAGGGCCTTGTGCTGGCTTCTCCTTAGCAGGACCCTGGGGCATGCTAGCTGGCTGGAGGGCAGGGGAGTGAAATGAGTGGCCCATCCAGGGGGAGACGGGAGGGGACCCCCTGGGGCTGAGGATGGCCAGCGCCCGTCTGACCTGCAGTGGGCCCTTGTGCGCTGGAATACACCAAGATGAAGACGGCGGATCACTTCTGGACCGACCCCTCCGCCGACGAGCTTGTCCAGAGGCACCGCATCCACAGTTCGCACCTGCGGCAGGACTCGCCCACCAAGCGTCCGGCCCTCTGTGTGAGTGGGGTAGGCAGTGGGACCCTGTGTGGGAGTCAGCCTGAGTTCCCGACCTGGCGTGGGGGCAGGGAATGGAGGGGGACCCTGAAGGCCGCTCCGGGCCTCACTCTCTGCCTCTGCTCCCCGTGCCAGATCCAGAAGAGGCATTCGAGCGGCAGCATGGATGATCGCCCATCTCTCTCTGCCCGCGACTATGTGGAGTCCCTGCACCAGAACTCCCGGGCCACCCTGCTGTATGGCAAGAACAACGTTCTCGTTCAGCCGGTGAGAGTTCGCCTTGGGCCCAGATCTTCCACTGGGGGTCTGGCTCCGTGTTGTAGAGAAGTTCCCTTTAGAGAATGAATGGCTCCACGTTGCTCATTCATTCATCCATCCATCCACCTACTCTCCCATCTATTCGTTCACCTGCCAATACCCCCTCTACCCATTCATTCATCCATATGCCCATGTCTCCTCCTATCGAATCCGCCCATGCGTCCATCCATCCACCAGTGTCTCCAGCCAGCCAGCCACTACTCTCCCGGTCTCAGTATCCACCATCCCCCTGTTCCCGCATTTCCCAGCAGTCCTTCATCCCTCTGCCTGTATTTATATCCATTTACCCATCCACCCATTTGTCCATTTATTTCCCAGTCCATCTGTCCATCTCCCTGTTTATGCAGCTACCTATCCATTCATTCTCTTTTGTTATTACTTACTCATTCAGCAAACATTTATATGGAACCTGCCAAGGGCTAGGTGCTCAGGATATCAAGATAAACATCTTCATAATTGATATTTATTAAGCACTTTCTGTGTCAGGCACTGTGCTAAGTGCTTTTAATTGTATCAACTCATTTAAACCTCACCACAGCCACTTTAGGAAGGTGCTGTTATCATAAGTAACACTGAGCTCATACAGGTGGAGTAAGGGACAGACTTTTTATTTGAGGCTGGCTAGTGCCAGAGTCTGTGCCCCTTACCAGTCAGCCTCTATCCCCCTGCACGGGGACAGGCACCAGGGATGGGTGATGAGCAAGGCACATGAAGCCTCCACCCTCAGGGGATATCTCCTCTGCTGTCCCCTACCCAGGAACATCGGGGTCCGTGCAGTGTTTGGGCTCAACTGAGAGGAAGTAGAGGGAGAGCTGTCTGCCACTTCAGCTCTGTGGTCACAGTTGTCACTGGGTGACCCTGAGAAAGTCACTTCTCTGTCTGAGCCCCAGTGACTGTATCATAATGGGTATAAGACCCTATTTCCTGAGACCTAAGGAGCCATGAATTTAAGATACAACATTTTTTAATTGTTAAATTAAAAGGCAATTAGAATTGGATTAAGTTATATACAGCGTTATTCTCACTACTTAAAAATTTTGTATTACAGTTTTTTGGAAGAGCTCTTTGAGATTTATTTGGATATTTTTAAAAATAATAACATTACTCTCATAAGAATACACAAGGGGAAATATAATTAAATACATTAGTTAAGACAGTCCTAAAACTACTTACATTTCAGGGTCCAGTTTTTGTACCACTTACTGACTTAGAGTCATTGTCCTTATTTTTCCACCAAGTGTCATTTTCTGTTCCATCAAGAGAAAGGGGCAACAAGCGATAGCCCTCCACCTGTTTTTATAAAGTTTTATTGGAACACAGCCGCATCCACTAGTTTACATATGATGTATGGCTGCTTTCACACTGCAGTGGCAGCGTTGAGTGGTTGCATCTCAGCCGGTATTGCTCGCAAAGCCAAAAACTTTCCCTGTCTGGCCCTTTACAGAAGAAGTTTGCTGACCTCTGATCCGGAGCACAGGAGGTGCAGCATCTCTTGCAAGCATTGCACTTGGTGGCTGATGTTCAAAAAAGTCTCGTATTGTGGGCATCCCTGCAGTTCCCGGCCTTTCTACGCACACAGTAACTTTTTGATTCAAAGCTGAATTGCAGTGTAATCTTTTAAAGGACATTTTAAGTGGCACCTGTCCTGCACATGTGCAGTGACCACCATGCACAAAACTTAAATGAAGCGGCGATATGAATAGTTGTGACCCTGTTTGCATGAGATCAGACGATGACAGCATGACAGTGGTGAGATGCTGCCGATTATAAGATGCATCCTCACTTGAGATACATTAAAATGTGAAAGAACAGTGTGCGTCTTAGAATGGATGAAAGACGGCAGCGTGCTCCCTGTGGGGGTTGCACTTGACCGAAATGAGACAGCGTGTGCGCCCCTGAACCAAGCTGGGCACAGACCAGCTGCTCAGTAAATGTTGTCGCCAGTGTCGTTGAGGTGAATTTGGTAGAGGGGCTGTCACCTCTGTGGGTGAGGCTGGGAGACTCCCCTCTCCACCAGCCTCCGCTTGGGATACAACAGAGCAGGCGAGAAACTCTGCGGGCAGATCGGGGAGATGGAGGTCGGGCTGCTGGGCGGGGAGTGTGGCGGGGATATTTGGGGAGGGGGCTTCTGGGTAATGCCCAGGGGATGGGACACAGATCTCAGCTGCCATTTTTTCCTCCCTTAAGACTGGCTAAAATGAGGTGGGTAAATGTTCTCTGCTTCAGAAAGGGTGATGTTGGGAGGGAGAAAGCTCCTCCCTGGTTCTGAAGACCCCCCCCCAACCCCACCCTTGCAGCAGGGCCCCTGACCTCAGAAGGGAAGCGTGAGGGTCAGAGTGGTGCGCGTGGGCAGCTTTCACAGGTGGATCTATGGAGCCCCATCCCGGCTGGTTGGCTGCGAACGACTGTGCTTAGCGTGGCCACTTAGAAGGAGGCCTAGAGTCTTCCAGGTGCCATCACTTGGAGGGAGTGCCCCAGCCCCTGGGTTCCGGTTATGTTCGCTGTTGACGCTGACACTACAACCAGGCCTGAGTCCTTCTCTCTCTACAGAGGGATGACATGGAGGCGGTGCCGGGGTACCTGTCCTTGCACCAGACAGCTGACGTCATGACCTTGAAGTGGACGCCCAACCAGCTGATGAATGGGTCTGTGGGAGATCTGGACTATGAGAAGAGGTAGGGCGCCAGGGCCCTCCCCTCCACTTGGCCCAGGGACGCTTGTGCCCCGACCCTGCCACCTGCCGGCTGCTCCATTGGGTAGTTACAGCCGCTGGGCCCAGCCTGCCTGTGGCGGTGGCCTCATGGGTAACTCAGGGGCGGGGACTCTCCGGAAACTAACTGGAAGGATCTCAGGGTGTGGGAGTTAGGCAGAGCCCTGGCCAAAAGACAGTCCAGAAATATCTTAACAAAGATTTCATAAGCCCACAAATGGCAGTTACTCCACAGTCGGCTGCCGACTTGCCCATCACTCAGTGGAAGGGGGAGGCGGGACGTGTCAGCTGGTGGGCGTCTGTGTCTCCTCTGATATCCTGGATTTATAGCATCCAGCCAAGGCTTTGGAGTCCTGCTCAGAGAATCATGGGACTGGGAATTCCCTGCTGCAGTGCCCTGTGTCCCAGCACAATTAGGGACAGTTTTGGGAAGGACGAAGGGAAGCCACCGGGCAAAGGCACGGTGGCCTGATTAGTTCAGCTTGAGGAGCCTTGGCAGCTGGTAGGGAGGAGAGTGGTGGTGTTTGCTGCTCTGAGTCCACATCTAAGCCTATTGTTCTTTTACATTGTCTTGCTTTCTTAAAAACATTTGATTATGAGAATTTACAGCCTAAAAGTAGGTAAGACTTGAGGACTGGACAGCCAGCCCCAGCAGCCCTCCCCCTCCTGCGGGCCTGTCGCCCTGCAGCAGCACGTCCAGGTCGCGGGGTTCCCTCTGGAAACCTGCTTCTAAATACAGCGCACACTCTTGCCAGGGAGCCTAACCGTGACGTCGTTCTCGTGTTCTGTTCACCATTACGCTTCAGTGTGAGTAACCCTGGGCCTTGCCGTGGTGCGTGCTATTCTCTAAGCTGGTCACTCCCTGGACAGAGGTCGCTGTCTGTCCTCAGAGAGGGTCAGGAGCAGATGCAGTTGGTCCTGGGCTGGGCCATGTCACTCAGCTCCAGCCAGAACCCGCAGTGTGGGGCCGAGGAGGTGCTCCTGGCCTGGAACCTTATCTCCGCTTTTTCACCTTAAACCTGGGTATCAGGCCGCAAGGAGCACCGAATCTCCTTTGTGGCATTTACAGAATCATAGTCACATACTAACTCTGTGCCCCTCTATATACCGACTGCCGCACCTGCCAGACCTCAGCTCTGTGGAAGCAAAGACAGTCCTGCCTTTGTCTTCTCCCCAGCACCTGCCGTAGGTTGTAGCAGGTGTGCAGATCATCTTTGTGAAACAAGGCGGGGAAGTCAGGGCCCCTAGATTCATTCATTAAATACTAACTGAGCGCCTACTACGTGCTAGGTACTGAGCTATATACAAGAGAGATAGGAGTTGCAAAAAAGGAAGGGAAAATCTTTACCTTCCCAGAGCTTACATTGTATTTACATTATACTGAAAGAGACAACAAATGAGTGAATGGATAACTGTATGTTATGGGACCAAGTTTTTGCTTAGTCCTCACCTCTCTGGGTGACCAGGGGTAGATAGAGCACTCCCCGTCTTTGAGCCTCAGTTTCCCCCTTCTATCAAATCGGCTGGAAAAGATGGTCTTCCCAGAACTGGAGGGTTCCCAAAGGGTTGGCAGGGCCTCCTCAAACACTGAGGTGTCTGCCGGCTTCAGAGCCCGAGGACCTTGTTTGTAGATTGGACTAAAGCCCAGGACTGTGCGGGCAGGAAGCTTCTGATGCCATTGTTTTAGGAGAGGCCTTGGACCAAATGACTGCCGAGCCCCTCCCCCTTCCCTGCCCGAACCATCCAGGACCCCATGTGTCTGCGTCACCTTTTCCTCCGTGAACAAGCTCGTGGCAGGCCCTTCCACAGGTAGTCCCGGCTGAACCTGCACTTTCAAGGTCGCTGCCGATAGGACGGGGGTCTTCGCCAGCCCTGGGCTCTGAGCCCCCATCTCGCCTCGGTCCCCTCTTTGGCACCTGGAGCTCAGGGAAGAGAAACGGTCAGGTCAGAAACGTGGGTGTCAGCCTTGTGGAAATGGGGGTGCCCAGGGGATTCAGCATCTCTTTGGGGACCACGGGACAATGAAGATAAGGGGTGTGTTCCTTGTCTAAAGAGGTTCAAGAGCGCCCTCTCTTTTCCCAGTGAGCACTCCCTCTTGCACAATGGGCATCGTAACCTCCCTTCTGGGTTTCCTAACGTTCGAGAGGAGAAATCACCAAAGAGGTGGATATTTGCGCTCTGGGGCCTGGTGGGCTTTGCACAGATCTCAGCCGTGCCACATGGAGCAGCTGGAACCCTCACATGCTGCTGATGGGACGACCACCTTACAAGCCCGTTTGGAAGTTTCTTTAACATGCCCTCACCATATAAAGGAAACTGTGAAAACATGTAAAACAAAAACTCCACTCTTGCTCCTTCCCAGCTGAGTGACCTGGGACAATCACCTTTACATGCCTGAGCTTCAGTTTGTTCATCTGTAAAATGGTGACATGGTCATGGAACCTCCGAAAGGGCACGTGGGGAGGAGTCAGGGAGGAAAATGCATGCAGAGCCCTTAGCACCTGGAAACCCAGGAAGCCCAGCACCTGGAAACGCCTCTCTATCGCGGAGACTCTTGTTGGCCACAGAGTTCCTTCTCACTGCTGTTGGTGGTAGTTGGGAAGTTGCTTTGCTTACTAGGCATCCCAGGGCCTGGCATCTACCACTCACTCTGAGCGTGAACATTCTCTGAGCATCTTGCAGAAGTGAATAAAACACAGTCCCCCCAGGGAGGCAAAAGAGGAAACAGGTCATCACCGCCCGCTGTGCTGGGCACGATGTGGGAGCCCAGGGAGGGACCTGGCCAAGCCTGGGCTGGGAGGGGCTTGGCACAGGCTGCTACCCTAAAAACGCTTGTGTGCTTGACCGTGCTCTGAGGACATCACTCCACGGACCCCGATGAGGCTGGTTCTGGCACGGACCAGTGCAGGAAGCCTCTAGAGAGCTCATACTCCAGCTTCCCGATGTCACAGCTGGGGAGACTGAGGCTCGGAGAGGAGGAGGGCCTGGTTCAGTGGAGGTGTCAGAAGCAGGATTTGAACCCCATCTGACTGTGAAGCCCATGTGAGTGGGGGTCTCCCAAGAAGCAGGCGCCAAGCCGGGATGAGATGGGTGGGAGGCAGGAGGGGCAGGAGGGGCGGGGAGAGCGCTTAGACTGCAGAGCTGCCCTGGCCCTGTGTGGGTGCTGGGGGGCCAGGCAGGAAGGGTCAGGCACAGTGCAGCTCTAAGGACGTTTAGCCAGATCGACTAGGAGTCCGCTGTCCCACAAGGGCAGGCCGACCCTGGCCCCTCGGCGCCTCAGACCCAGCCGAGAGGAAGTGTGGCCTTGGCACAAACCTGCTGGTGCATCCAGAGGGGCAGCCGCAAAGCTGTTGGTCAGCTCCGCTCCCCACAGCGAGGTCTCGTGGAGAAGACCTGAGCAGTGCCTTCCTGTGGCTGCCACCGAGCCTGAGTTCCGACGGCCCCACCTCCCATTGTGTTCAGAGGGGAAAAGCAGTCTATTTCAAGACAGTAGTTGGCTTGGAGCTGAAAATGGCAAACCTTAAGTAAATCACAGGGACCATTAGCCAAGTACTTTTTTAAGGCATCAGTGCTGTGGTGACCCTTTTCAAACACGTGATTCCATTGACTCTTCACAGCAACATTATGCAGTAGATATTATTATCATCCCCATTTTCAGAGGAGGAAACTGGAGCATAGACGCCTTCAAGTCACAGTGACCCGTGACGTCAAGGCTGTTGAGTGGCTGTTCTGACTCCTGCCCGTGGACATAGGATGGCCTGGAGTTAGGGTCAGAGTTAGTCAAGACTCGGATACCAGTGACAGAACCCAAACTCAAGCTGACTTCAGCATTCGCGCACGTGACCTGAGAAATCCTGGGGCAGTGGCTTCAGGCAGGGCTGGATCTGGGGACTTAATGAGGAAGACCCGACCCTTTCCATCTCTTGCCTCTGCCTCGCTGACTGTTGGCTCCATTCTTAGGCAGGCGTTTTCTCGTCATGGTCCCTCACATCTCCAGACTTCCAGCATCCTTGCCATTGCTCTCCCAGCAGAAAGGAGCATCTCTTCACCAGTAATTCTAACATAAATCCAGTAATTGAATCTCATTGGTTCTGCTTGTGTCCTGGGGCCATCCCTGAACCAATCACTGTAGCCAAAGCAGTGGAATATGCTGATTGGTCAGGCCTCTGTTAGGTGGCCGGTTCCTGGAGTTTGGGGGTGGAGGGTGGGTGAGGTTGGCCTCAGCCACGTGGACTGTGGGCAGGGGAAGAGGGATTCTTTAGAAAATTGGGACTGAAGAAGAGAAGGTAGAGTCCAGGAAGACTGATCCAGATGTTGGGGACAAGTGGGTCCTGGTGAGAAGGGCAGAGGAGCCCATGGGTGTGGTCTTCTGGCCTCCTGGGCCCTTCCCCATCGTGAAGTGGGCAGACATCCTGCAGGCCTAACCCTTCCTCCCCTTTCAGTGTCTACTGGGACTACGCCATGACCATCCGCCTGGAGGAGATTGTCTATCTGCACTGCCACCAGCAAGGTAGGGGCCGCGGCAGGGAGCTCAGGGCTGGGGGGGTCCCACCTGGGTCCCCGCCTACCTTGCCCTCTCATTGCCTGTGCAGACCTCCAGCAAGTGACTTCTCTCTGCGCCTCAGTTTCCTCTCAGTGGGGTTACTGTGAGGATCAAGTGATGTGCATAAGGGCTCGATGTCCAATCCATGGTGTTAGTTGCTAATGCTCAGTGCTCATGATGTGCCCAGCATGGTTCTGAAAATGTTCATGCTTGTCATTTAATCACAATAACCCAATGATAAGGGTTCTGTCATTCCCAGTTCACAGGTGAGGAAGTAGCATGGCACAGAGACACACAGCCTGTAAGTTCCACAGCCTGGACTTGAACCCAAGTCTTTGTCACTCGAGTCAGTGCTCTGCAGATCTGGGATTAATAACTAGAGTTCCCCTTTAAAGCTCAGAGAAGGCCTATGCATAACAAGCAGAGAGTCACCCTGCTCTGGAAAACAAGGGATCTGTAGCTCACCAAGGCATAAAATACTTAAGCTTATTTAATGAGATAGACCTGGGTTTGAATCCAGGCCCTGCCACGTACTAGTTGTGTGACTCTTGGCAGGATACATAATCTCTCTGAGCCTCGGTTCTATCATTTGTAAAATAGACGCTAACATGTGTTACGTTTTGAGTACTACAAGAAGGTGGCGCCTTTAACGTGATGTGCTTATATACAGGAAGTGCTCAGTACATGCTAGCGACAGTTAACCACTGCCCTGAGAAGGGGTAGGTCTGAAGCCTCCACACAGAAATAGGGCAGGTCGATTTGTAGAGGGTGCTCGAGGGGTGTGAGGTGTTTGGGGGCATCCTTTTCTTTTGGGGGTGGCTGAAGGGAGGCCAGCCACACTCTTCTTGACCGTGTCCTACAGTCCCCAGTCAGCAATGATGGTAGGTAGGGCGAAAGGGACTCCGGGGAGGTAAACCTGCCCCGGCCTTTCCCCGGAGCCTCAGAACAGGCCCACGGGCCTGGCTTGGCATGCCTGAGGGGGTGCTGGCCGCGAGGGCCCCGTCACCACGCCTCGTAGTGACTTCCTGCTGGGTTTTCTGTGGCCGGGTCACGGTGGCAGTGGACAGCGGCGGGACGGTGGTGCTGGTCAGCCAGGATGGGATCCAGAGGCCGCCCTTCCACTTCCCCAAGGGCGGGCACCTCCTGCAGTTCCTCTCGTGCCTGGAGAACGGGCTGCTCCCCCACGGGCAGCTGGACCCACCACTCTGGTCTCAGAGGGGGAAGGTGAGTGGTCGTGGGAGCCTGGGGTGGGGGTCAGCCACGGGCAGTGGTCATCCTTGCCCGTGGGTCCTTCTGTGGCTTTATGGGCTCATGCACACCCCATCCAGACCCTCAGGCCGTGCAGCCTGGGGACGGGTGCACCCCAGGGACTGTGCATGGGGACATGTTCTTTCAGGGCAAAGTATTTCCTAAACTGCGGAAGCGAAGCCCTCAGGGTTCCGCCGAGTCCACGTCTTCAGACAAGGAAGACGATGAGGCCACGGATTACGTGTTCCGGATCATCTACCCCAGCCTGCAGTCCGAGTTCGGTAAGCTGCCGCTCCTGGGCCCAGGCAGCCGCCTGTTGGCTGGTCCTGAAAATGACTGAGAACATCATCATCTGGAAACAGAGGATAAGAGGTCTGGATTCTGGGACCAGCAGCGGGACCTGGAATTAGGAAATGTATATCTTGGCGGCATCAGTTTTCCCCTAAATGAGAACAGGTCACCACCCTTTACGTAGCCGATGACGAGGCCGCTGGCCAGGAGGTGGCATGGGGTCTGGAATCCTGGTTGAACTTGGGCAAGTCACGTTAACCCTGTGCCTCAGGGTCATCATCTGTAAAATGGGGATGTTGATAGCACCTATTTTCATAGGGCTTTTGAGGGGATTAAATGAGATAAGGCGCTGGACACCGAACACTCAAATGTTAGCTGCTATTAAGTTATTGTATTTCAACATACTGTTGTAAGGGTTCAATGAGATACTGAGGTAATCAGTGTAAAGTCCATAGAATTAGGCCTTGCACACAGTAGGCACTCAATAAATGATAGAGCAGCAGAGGGGAAGCAAAGCACTCGGCAGTAGCACAGGAAATGATAATATGTTAATATATCCCAACAATTTGCCTGGTGACCACTGCGAAACAGATGCCTGGTGAATGGAGACTATGGCTATTAAGGCAATTGTTACTATGGGCTATTGTTAGGATTAAGTGAATTAATATTTAAAAAGTTCTTGGAAGGAAGCGGACATTTATTAAGCACTGTGTGGATGTCTCTTAAACAAATCAGTATTAAGTTATAGGTTCTTTCTGTTAACCTCATTTTCTTTAACCCTCTGTGGCCTCATTGATCCCATCTGATGGATGATGACTCTGAGCCCCGCTTTGATTAAGTGACCTCGGCCAGGCAGCGAGAGGCTCTTTTGAAAGCAGACGTCCTTCCCGGCAAGGCTGAACCAACTGTGCTGGCCGCTCAGTGCTCCGCTCTCACCCATCACTGAGGTGGACTGGGGCGTGGGGTAGTAAGGCCCTACGTGGCCGGGTTGGTGTGTTTTCATTCGTGGCCAGTGGTGAGCAGTGTCTCGTGTTGCTGCATCATTAAGAGCCACAGAGTGTCCACCACCTGTCCATTCCTGCCCCGGGTCAGGGTCTGGAGCGGTCCCAGGTTCTCCGTGACTTGCAGCCCCACCAGAGGGCTGATGCCTTTGTGAGGACCAGATGGCCCTGTGGCCACCTTCCCAGAAAACTCTCTCCTTGGGGCCTTACCCTCCGATGAATTACTCAGAGGCTCTTGCCGGAAGCCAGGCTGGATGCCGGATAGCCCTTATTTGGGGAAGATCAGTGTTAGCCTCTGCGGCCCTGCACATACCCACGGGTGAGATGCCAGCTGTGCCCTTCTGTGCACGCCACCCTGCTGCCAGCTCCCAGGCTCAAGGTCTCTTTGCCTGAGGGGTTTCTCTGGCCACCAAGGTCCGTCTACCCCTGGCTGGGGCCCAAAGCAACATCAGGGCATCAGTGCCCCCAGTGACCGGTAGGAGGCGGTGCGCCCATGGAGAAAACTGAAATGTGTGTCGTGACCGCCTCCCAGAGCTCCCCTAGGAGACCAAGCCCTGGTGCCCACTGGGTAGGATCTTGGGGTCTCGTCCCCTGGGTTGGAGTCTTGGCTCCACCACTTATCAGCTAGGTGGTCGTGGGCACGCTGCTTACATACTCTGGGCCTCAGTTTCCTAATCTATAACGGGTAATACTTGTGCTCAATAAGTGGTAGCTGTTGTTAGTGGAAAGAGAGGGGGCTTTAGTCAAAAAGACCAGCTATGCCAGTTACTGCCTGGGGCACCTTGGATGGCAATTTTGTTGTCATCCTGAGGCTCAGTTTCCCCTTCAACAACAAGGGAGAAGAAACGCATCCCTTGCTGGGTCATTAGAGACGACAAGGCACCCCTCCGCCTAGCATCGCCCCGGCACAGGGGAGGCGCTTTATAAGTTTCACCATTCTCCCCTCCTCTAGTGCACGCAGTACCTGGGAGATGTGCGGGGGCGGGCGGGGGCGAGGTTCAAGGTCCCAGGAATGGTTTCTTCTAGTCGTTCCAGAGTTCCGCCCACCGCACACCTTCTGTTTCACTGATGCTTTTTGTTTTGTGTCTCAAGTTGTTCCCGACCCCTTGGGCAGCGCGTCCCCCGTCTCCATGGGCCCTGCCTGGATGGTGGTTCCTGTGGGCCGGTCCATGCTGGTGGTGGCCAGGGACAGTCAGTGGGCGCAAACCAGATGGGACACCACCCTCCCCACGCCGAGCTTGAAGCAGCAGCCCCCCAGTAATGTCTGGATCCCCCCACTCCTGGGGCTGGGCGCCGGCCACCTCTGCCATGTTGTCATTTGAGTGTTGGTCCCAGTGGAGATGGAGGCAAAAGATAAACCGATGCCCTCCTGCTGCCCTGCCTGTGCCCGCAGGCTGCAGCTTGGGGCGCTGTGGGCTCGGTAGGGGAGGGGCCCGTTGGTGATGTCCGCAGCCTGGGCAGGGTAGGGGGCAGAGCTGCTTGCCACACGCGGGCACAGCTGATTGACGCTTCCCTGAGACTAAGAACTGGGGCTGTTTTTCTAAAACATACAGAGCTTGCTGGTCTTTCTCTGCAAGCTCATTGCTGAGTCTCCTTGGGGGAGTAGTGTAACAAGCCACATTGGTGACCCCCAAAACCTCATTTTGGAGGCAGCTTTTTACTATGTCATTAGGTAAAGGCTGACCCTGTCAACCACGAGCCCTGGTGACAAGTGGAGCTGAGTCCACAACACGCCCTCCCCTTGGAGCCAGCAGGGAGAGGCCAGGCACTGCCAACCGTCTTTGAGGACGCATGGCCTGTGGGGCAAACGTGCACCGTCCTGACTTCCCAGGGCAGCACTTGGCCCACCGGCCTGCAGGCCGGGTTCAGCCGCATCTGGGCAGCCATGAGCTGAGAACAGCTTTTACATTTTTTAATAACTGGGAAAAAATCAAAAGCAGAATATATTTTGTGTCAGGTGTAAATGGTAGGAAACTCACGTTTCAGTGCTCATAATTAAAGTTTTATTAGAATACGCCCACACTCATTTGTTTATGGCTACATGTGCACTATGACTGCACAGTTGAGTCGTTATGATAGCAACCAGAGAGCTCACAAATCCAAAAGTGTTTTTTTCCTGGCCCTTTGCAGAAAATATTTCCTGAGCCCCATCTAGAGAAAATAATTTTTTTGCACCTGTCTCAGTCTCCCAAGAGGTCAACAAGTTAACTATAGAAATTACAATGTATACGTCACCAGTATGTTTGTTCTGCGGCACTGCAGCTGCCGCGGTTTTCATGCAGCTGGCGAAGCAGCAGTAAGGGCAACTGCCAGTGCTGTGTCCTGGGAGCAGTTAGGCAGGAATCACCAAAGTCCTGGAGTTGGGAGAGCAGTCATGCCTTTGTGGTTCTCAAAGGCGGCTGCTGTATCAGAATGGTCTTTGAAATATAGACTCAAGGGCTGTGTCACCAGATTTTAATTCAGTAGGTTAGGAGTGAGATAGAGGCTTATGGCTTTTTAACAAGCTTCCTACATGATTGTGGGGGATCACCACGCTGGCTGAGACCCAGTTTGGGGAGCGACTATACGGCTCAGCACCATGGACAGTGCAGGTGCCGTCGCCATGGAGGACTCCCCTGGTTCTTGCCCTCGTGGGCGGGCCCTGTCTCCTCAGCGAGGCAGGCTCCCTCTGTCTTGCCAGCAGAGACTCTCTCACCCAGTGAGTCTGCCTCCAGGAACTGGAGGCCACCTGCCTCCCTCAGAAGCCCCCAGCGGGCTCCCTTCCTTCGTGTCTGCCTCCTGTGAGGATAGCTGAATGACAACATGGTGTGAGGCTTGGCCTCCTGCTCTGGAATGGGGCTTGTTTCCTTGGCTCTGGTCTCTCTCTGTGTCCTCTTCCTCTCTCTCTTCACTGTCATCAGCTCTTCCCATTTTCTGGGAGTCCCAAATCTTGGTGGTGGCTTTCATTGGATCATGTGGGGACAAGGACTTGGGTCAGACAGTGATTGGGGTCGCGGTTTCCTACTGTGACATTCAGGGGCTCTTTCTATCCCTGTGCTGGCCTAGCAGTGAGCTGCTTGTTTGGGGGTGGGGTTTCTGTAACCCGCACAGGCTCAGCCAGGGCCCTCCCTCTGTCTCTTCCCCCCTCTGCAGTGCCCCAGGACCTGATGGATGTCTCCGTGAGCAATCTGCCATCCCTGTGGCAGCCCAGTCCCCGCAAATCCTCTTGCTCATCCTGTTCACAGAGTGGCTCGGCTGATGGAAGCTCAACCAATGGCTGCAACCATGAGAGGTATGAGGGGCTTGAGCGGTGGATGGAGGAAATGGAAGGATTTACCAAAGATCTGGAGATACCCGTTACTTGCCGTGCACTGACTTTAGAAACTATGGAATCATCCAAGTCTAGGTTGAATCGTACTCTTGTAAAGTCCTGCCTGTTTGAGCTTCCTAACGTGTATCATATCACACTTAACAAGATCCCAAGATCACATATGTACTTTTAAGTTTGAGAAGTGCCAATATAACTGGAGAATCTTACATTTTAATGTGCATCAGAATCATTTGGGAGAAGCAGCAAACCCTACTGATTCCTGGACTACTTCCTAGAGGTCCTGCTTGCGTAGGAGAAAGTCCAAGTGATTATGGGCTGGTGGTCCACGGACCACTGGAAAATGCTGCTCTAACCTAGTAACCCCTGTCATGGTATCTGCTTACACACCTCTAGTGACAGGGAGCTCACCACCTCGCAGATAGCCAAGTATGCTGTGGGACAGCTGTCAGTGAGATGCTGTTCTCGTGTAACCTGAGCAAGCCTGAGCCTTGCCAACCTGAGGGCACCAAGAGGGTGACTTTAAAGTTTAATGCCCCCAGGTATAACTGGAGGGCTTCAGCCATGCCACCTCCGCAGCCTCCTGGATTTCGCTGGGTGGCCCCTGGATGGCTTGAGGATAAATATGCAGACACTGCTCTACTCTGTTCTTTGCAAGAATGCACAACACTCCCTTCAGCAGTCCTTGTCTTTTTTCCCCAACAATGCTGGGGCCTTATTCCTTTCTCCCCTTTCAGCCAAAAAGCACCCCCCTCCCAATTCCCATGCAAAGGAAATTTCTGAGGCATCACCTGTTTGCAGTCAGCCAGACTCTGAACCCCCGTCTGGCTCTTTTTGGGTCAGCGGGGCCACTTTAGAAGTCAGAACTCTTTCTGAAGGTGTCAGGACCAACTTCAAACTGGTTCAAGTAAAAAGGAAAATCTGCTGACAGAAATGAGAAGTCCACAGGTGTAGGGGCTTCAGGTGTGGCTGGGTCCAGAGGCCCGAAACAGGAACCTCTCTTTTTTTAGCTCTTGCCTCTGTTTGCCCTGATCACGGTTTCATTCTCAGGAAGGCCCTTCTATGCAGTAGCAAAAATGGATCCCGGCTGCCACTGCCCCACATGCCATCGGCTTAGGAACTCCATCAGGGAAAACTGTCCGTGTCCCAGTTCCAACAAAAGTCTCGTGGCTGGTTCTCATTGGCCTAGGTTGGATCATGTGACTACCTCTGACCAAATCACTGTGACTCCAGCCCGGGTCAAGTACTGAGTAGAATCGGCCCCACCCAAACTATAGGGACGGAATCGGGCAGTGACTCCCAAACTGCCCGCAGAAGGGGCAGTGACGCTGTCTGGGTGGAACAGTACCCCCGCAGTTCCCTTGATCGGTTTGCTTTAATCTGCTCCTGGAGACAACGAGTTGTGCTCCTCTCCAGGACGCCAGGGCTGTGCGTGGATCTGTTCTAAGGGCCTCCTTTTTCCTCCACCTGCAGGGCTCCCCTGAAGCTTCTCTGTGACAATATGAAGTACCAGATTCTTTCCAGAGCCTTCTATGGATGTGCGTATTGACCTCATTTGCCATTGTGGTCTCCAGGGAGCTTTCATTGAGTGCCTTCTGTGTGCCAGCAATATCAGGGGAAGGAGCTGGCCCTGGGGTTTGGACCTCTGCTCCTCTAGTTCCTAGATGCCTGGTTTGGGTGAAGTTATGTTAACTTCTCTGAGCCTCAATTTCCTCTTCTACGGATTGGGGATAAATATTACCCTTGGGGCCTAAGAGAGGGCAGTGAACAGTGGGGTTCCTTGGTGGCAGGGGTTTGGTTTAATCACCATTGCGTTCCCAGTGCCCACCTTAGAGTGTTTGTTTTCAAGGCTGAATGAGAAGCAGGTATAAAGCCCCCAGCACCTAGCATTGCCCATCATGGGGGCTCTGTAACTGTTCCCTTCTCCTGTAGGCAGAAGCAGAAGGGAAAGGTGGCCTGATCCCTGCCCAATAACTTAAAAATTAAATTCATAATAGAAGTACTGTGATTATTTCATTTTAATCAAATGAGGAAGCTAAGGCACAGAGAGGCTAAGAGACCAGCCCAAGGTTGCATAGCTAATCAACAGAGGTGGGACTCAAACCCAGGACTGCCTGGCTGCAAAGGCTGTGTTTTTTCTACTCTCCCATATAAATTCTAGAAAAGCGTTAGCACATCCTGCACTGGCCTGTGAAATAGCCTTGCAGGTCCCATCCCAGCGTGCCTGGCGAGGCCGAGAGAGCATGAGCTCTCCAAGGTTAAGGTTTTTGCCTGTTCCGTTACTGCCCACCCCCGGTGCCCCATGCAGGGCCTGGTGCGGAGCCGGCATTGGGTGAGTATTTATGGGACCCAAAGGGGACAGCTTCCTGGAGGGAGGGGAGAGAGGGGAGAGGGACCTTGAATAAAGGCATCACACAATGTGGCTCATCCCTGACGGTGGTTGAGAGCCCAGGATCTGGAGCCAGGCAGTTTGGGTTCAAGTCCCAGCTCTATATCTCCTAGCAGTGTGACCTGAGCAAGTGAGGAAAGCAGCCTGTGCCTCAGTTTCCTCATCTGTAACACGGGGATAATAAGGATACCTGCTGTGCTGGGAGTGAAGTGAGTTAAGTTATGCACGCTCCGGGGACAGCTCCCTGGCGCAGAGTGTGCTCAGTGAGGGTTGGCCATTATATCGTCATCACCATCATCGTCACGGTCACCCCCGTTGTTGGTGGGGGCAAGTCGTCAGGCTCTGGAAGGTGCAGGGTGCCCTCTGGGAGTTGAGGGTGAGACAGTGGGGCAGGGCCAGCAGGAGCGTACGCAGTCCGAGCAAACACAGGCTAGCCATTGCCGAGCGCCTCTTGTGTAGCAGGCTCCGTGCCCTCCAGGGGCCCGGGACGGACTGGGTGAGGGCTGGCAGGTTGGCAGGCAGGGCCACCTTTGAAAGCGAACTGGAACCCTCAGCATCTTCTCGGTTATCACCTGCCAGGACCTCTTGATCCAGCCCCACCGCTCCCGTTCTCTCTCTCTCTCGGTGAGGCACCCAGGGGCGCAATGAGCCCGCAGGTCACGAGCCCCTCCTGCCTGCTGCTCCTCTGCCCTAGCCTGGGCATTCAGTGCCTTGCATTCCAGCAGGGGAGGTGGCGTCTCCCTGACCAAGGTCGAGAAATTTGATAGGACGTATCCAGGGTCCCAGGTCTGTTAAGCAGTCAAGCCAGCAAGTGACTGCCCCTCCAAGCCTGACCTTCCTTACCTGGGAAAGGGGGATGGCGAGAATTGGTTGGGTCACAAGGGTTCAGTAAGACTGGACAGCACTTGGGAGACTCCATGTCACAAGGCAAGAAGGGCTGGATGGTGGGTGATGACCTTTTCCCTCTGTGCCCCTGCAGGGCTTGCCTACTGCAGACACCTGTCCACCGTGAGGACCCACCTGTCAGCCCTGGTCAATCACAGGATTGTGTCTGCAGACTTGCCCTGTGATGCTGGGCGTGGGCTGACGGCCAGGATCTGGGAGCAGTACCTTCAGGACAGCACAGTAAGGCGTGGCCCGGCTTAGCCTGCGGTGGGGCAGAGACAGCAGGGGGTCGGGGGGCCTCTTGCCGTCTGAGGAATAGACCCACCTGCTTGTGGGGACTCAAGGGTGCTGTGATAGCTTCGAGGTCTGCACACCCAGATTGAAGGCACCCTCCTTTCCTTGAGAGTTCCAAGATCCGTGGCCTGCTTCTGCCCATGGAGGTGAGGGTCAGGGAGGATGGAAAATCCACACGCTTGTCTAGGAGGAGTAAAAATCAATCCGTCACTAAGCACTTATTCAGCGTGAGCTGTATGCTCAATCCTGCACAAGGTGCTGCGAGTCCCCAGTGAGAAGGAATTTATAATCCAGTTGAATCTACTGAGAATGATGCATTAGCTAAGTTAAAGGGAGACAGCTGGACCCCTCTGTTCGAAACTCTTTCTCCCACCTCCGTGTTAGCGCCTGAGATTCTACCGTTTGGACATTTCACGTGGAGATAGATTTCTGAGGTTTTCTTATTAGAATACACATGTCCCTGAAAGGAAAATGTGTATGTTTAAAAAAAAGTGTCGTGGCCAAATAGTTTGGGAAATAGGATTAAACAGTATCCCGAAGGACTTCTTTGAGCCTCGACTATGCTATTGTGCTTGTCACTTGCAAGAAATCGGGGGCGCATGGGAGGGCACATGGAACACTCCCTCAGATGTATTTGGCCACAGAAGCCTTTGTTAGACAAGTACCTCCCATGGCTTGTGGAGGGTGGAGTCCACTTTGAAAAACACTGGTTTCACTGCTGCCAAGAGTAGGCATTTGGAGGACGTAGTCATTTCCTCCACGCTTGATAAACCTAGTGGCTCAGGCAGCTGGGTGCCTTCCCCCACCGGCCCTGGGGAGGCCAAGCTGGTGAGCGCTGGTGTCGGCTGCTTCCCTACATTGGCAGAAGGTGCTGTTCTGTGTATTGATCTGGGCTTGCTGGGGGACTTGGTGAGGAAGACAAACTAGTTCCCAAATCTCGACAGACAGTGGTTTTACAGTTTTGGTTTTACATTTTTGCCAAAAAACGGTGGTTGTTCTAAATGACAGGAGGAATGCCTATTTACTGGGACAATTTGGAGAATGAAGAATGCAGATTTTATATATAGAATACAAACTTTTTACTTTTAAATTTTTATCTTTATTTTTACTTTTTGGCTGTGAAGACAGATCTTGTTCAGTACTATTGCAAGAGGAGAAAGAGACATCAGAATAGAACTTAGCTCAATTCCAAATACAGTCAAGACAGATGTTGACTTATGGCCAATGAGCAGAGTGGGAGGGGCAGTGGGTGACAAATTACTAACAGCAGGCATCACGGGTAGGGGTTCTTGCTAAGACAGGCCAGCAGTTGTGCATGAAGGGCAGGGATGAGGATCTTGGTCAGACATCAAGGCGGAGATTCTCAGTAGCCTAACAACAGGATCCTGGCCACACCTGGGCCAGGCAGGGGGAGGACAGGGGCCAAGGACGAGGCCTAGGCAAAACGAGGGCTCGGAGGAGCCTGTCTGAAGTTTGACTCTGAGCGAGAGTCTCTCACGATACAGTTAAAACAATATCCCTGCTATATTTCTCTAGTTCAGATCCCCTGACTCACCGAATAGGACTAGTTTGGTGTAGACCTTCTCATACATTTTCTCTGCTTATACACCCATAGATATATCTGTTACTCTTATTTTTTTAAATGAGGTGACATATTTGTATTTTATGTAACCAACTTACTTCTTTGTTAAAGATGTGCTTTCAAATCTCTTGGTGAAATACTGAATGTTAGAACTGTAGCACCTTGTATATGGGTGGACCGCAATTAATTCTAATTCTTCCCTAATGATAGACTTCCGGTCTCTCCGTTTTTAAAAAATCATTTCAAACAATGCTATAGTTGACATCTTTATAAGCATAATCCTTTATGTACTCGTGCTTTTATTTTGAGAGTAGGTTCCTAGAAATAAAATTGATTCATGTGCATTTAAAATTTAAATAGATGTGCCAGCTTGCTTCCTCAAAAGGTCACGCTGTTCATCATCCCTGCAGTCTACTAGAGTACACATTTCCTGAGGAGTTTAAAAGATTTATACGCTTCTGGGCTCCGCTCCAGCTTTGCTGATTGAGCATCTCTGGAAGTGGAGCCCAAGAGTTTACGTTGTTCTGAAAGTTCCCCAAACGCTTCTAATGATCTCCCCTGTTGAGGAGCACTAATCTGAGGGCAAATTGGTTAAAATAATAAATTAGTCAAAAACAAATATTTTTCATCGAATGTTTTTGCAATCCTTTTACAGCCTATTTGGCCATGTTTTCCCTGTTCTGGGTTTCATTGTTGTATCAGGGCAGACTGAACTGCAGTAATAAATAGCTTGCTATTTCAGTTGATTGATATCACAGGGGTACATTTCTTGCTCACTTAACATTCCTGGGCGGGTGTTCTGCTGAGTGGGCACCTCTCCGCCCTCCAGAGGGGGCTGTCAGTCCTGCGGCCCCGCTGCCCTCAGGGACTCATGGTCATCTGCCTCCTGGCAGCAGAGGGGAAATGGAGAGTTTGAGGGGAATACACTTGCTTCTTCAAAGCCCTGGCCTGGAAATAGCTCACAGCACTTCCTCTCACATCCCATTGGTCAGAATCCAGTCACGTGACTGCACCTGCCTGCAAGGGAGGCTGGGAAATGGAGTCCAGCTATGAACTCCAGGAGGAAGGGAGGTGGATTTTTGATGAAGTATTCACAGTCTCAGCCACAAATTAGTACTCTGGTTTTTATACAGCTTTGACAAGGCCATCTACATAATTTGAACCAAAATTCCCAGTGGGGACAAAAGAATGACTGTATTTTCCCTTGTGGTTGGATACATCTAAGACTAGCATTAAGATGTGAAATAATGCTTTTAATTTTGGAATGTGAAGTAAAGCGGTGAGAGGAAACAGGATCCCCGTGCCCTTCAGAGCAGCCCCGCAGCGGTCATTGGCACTTCACACACACGCACAGGTAGGACCGCCTGCTGGCCCTTTGGCTTCACTAACTGCAACAGCAAAACCTTTGCCTGAAAGGGAATTTTTAAAACTAGCAGAGAAAAATCTGCTCCACAACAGAACAGACAGTCGTTGAAGTCACCCTAGCGCGCGCCCAAGTTATTAAGGTATGCAGAGCCAGGTGCTGGGGTTCATTGTGGGTTAATTTGCTTTAAAACAATTTTCTTAGAATTTAGATTAAAAACTCCAAGACAGTATTCCCAAATAAGCACAGTATACAGAATTGACTGAAAATTAAGTAGAAATAATAAATTCATTGTACACTGTCCTTTTGGTTTAACAAAAATGAGTTCACACTAGACATGACCATCTTGTTTTTCCCCACCTAACAATAGACATTAACATCTTTTTTGTGTGGGTGCTCATAGACGCACCTCCGGCCCCTTTGACTCTGTGATATGCCCGTGTTAGGGGTGCACTGTTTTCCTGTCAGTGGGCAGTTGGGGGGATCCCAGAGTTTGTTCTTTCATATCATATAGTGACTATTGGGTACCTAGGGCTGTACTCGTTCATGCCTGGATCTCTGAGAACTAGGCCTGAAAAACAGCCCTGCTGCATCGCAGACCCTGCCCCTGCTTCTCTGTTGACCAAACCCTTTGCTCTCCTCCCTCCCCCCACCGCAGAGTTACGAGGAGCAGGAGCTGCTGCGCCTTGTCTACTATGGGGGTATCCAGCCCGAGATCCGCAAGGCCGTGTGGCCCTTCCTGCTGGGCCACTACCAGTTCGGGATGACAGAAACAGAAAGAAAGGAGGTTAGTGACCCACCATGGGCAGTGGGGTCTCAGGCAACAAAGGGAGCCAAGTACCGTGGTGCTGAGGAGCTTGGTCCCCCATCGGACTGAGGCGGGGCCGGAAGATGGCGGAGCCCAGAAGCTGGAGGGCAACGCTGTCTGATAGAAATATGGCACAAACCACAGACGTCAACTTTTTAAATAAGCTTTTTATTTTGAGGTCATTGTAGATCCGCATGCAGTTATAAGAAATAATGCAGAGAGATGCAACGTATCCTTTATCCAATTTCCCCCAATAGTAACATCTTGCAAAACTATATAGTACAATATCACACCCAGGGTATTGACGCGGGTGCACTATACCACTCTTATTCAGGCTTCCTGGTTTACGGGTACCCATTTGTCTCTGTGTGTGTATCTGTGCGTATTTAGTTTTCTGTAGTTTTATCACACACGTCGGTTCATGTGCCACCACACAGTCAATATACTGAACATTCTGGTGCTACGAGGGTCCTCGTGCCTCCCACTCACCCCATCCCTAACCCCTGGCTACCAGTAACGTATTCTCCATTTCTATAATTTTGTCATTCCAAGGATGTTGTGTAAGTGCCATCATACAGTATATACCTTTTTGGATTGCCTTTGCACCAAGCATGATTCTCTGGCAGTCCGTCCAAGTTGCGTGTATCAGCAGTTGATTCTGTTTCATGGCTGAGTAGTGCTCCGTGGTCTGGGCGCCCCACGGCGTGTTTACCTCTCCACCTGTTGGTGGAGAGGTGGGTTGTGTCCAGTTCTTTGGCTGTTACAAATAAAGCCGCAGTGAGCATTCATGTATGGGTTTTCACGCGAGCACAAATTGTCATTTCTCTGGGAGAAGTGCTCAGGAGGGCAGTTACTGGGTCCTGTGGTTAGTGTTATGAGAAACTTATGAATGCTTAGCTTTGCCCGCCTAGTTTTATAGGAAATGGGCAAACTTTTGCAGTGGCTGTACCATTCTATATTTCCACCAGCAGTAAATGAGTTACCCATACCAGCATCCTCACCAGGGCATAGTGTTGTTACTGTTTTTTATGGTAGCCACTCAGACAGGTGTGCAAATTGGTGTCTCATCTTCCCAAATGGCTAGTGACATTGAACGTCTTTGCACATGGTTGCTTGCCATCTGTGTATCTTTGGTGCAGTGTCAGTTAATGTCTTCTGTCCGTTTTCTAATCGAATTGTTTGGTTTTTTTACTCTTGAATTTGAGAGTTCTTTACTCTAGGTGCAAATTCGGTTTTGGATTTGTGGCTTGCAAGTGTTTTCTCCCAGTTTGTATTTTGTCTTTTCATCTTAACAGGTTCTTTTTGCATAACAGATTTTAAAATTTTTGATGAGGTATGATTTATAGACTTTATTCTTGATAGATTGTGGTTTTGGTGTCCAATCCTAAGAATTTTTTTTGCCCTAGATCCTGAAGATCTCCTATGGGGTTTTTTTTTTAAATTTTTTATAGTTTTAGTTTTTGCATTTAAGTCTGTGATCAGTTTTGAGTTCATTTTTGTATACAATGTGTTATTTAGGTCGAGGATGTTGAGAAGCTATTCTTTCTTCATTGAGTTGCTTTTGCGTCTTTGTCAGAAATCAGTGGGGCATATGAGTGTGGGTTTACTTCTGGGTTCTCCATTCTGTTCCATTGATATATACTACCCTATAATTAGAAATCTTCAGCTAACACCACACTGTAATTTTAAATGTTTTAGTAATTACAATTTTAAAAGTAAAAAGAAACAAATGTAATTAATACTTCAACACTTATTTTGAAATAATTGTAAGTTCACAAGACATTGCAATAATACTAATATTATTATTAATAATAATGCCCTGACTGGTGTGGCTTAGTTGGTTGGGCATAGTCCTGCAGACCAAGGACTCTCCAGTTTGATTCCCAGTCAGGGCACATGCCTGGATTGTGGGCCAGGTTCCCAGCTGGGGGTGTGCAAGAGGCAACTGATCAATGTTTGTCTCACACATCAATGTTTCTTTCCCTCTCTTTTTCCCTCCCCCTCTCTCTAAGGGTAAATAAATAATAATACAGAAGTTCTGTGTACCCATGACCTGGCTTTCCCCAGTGAAAACATAGCTATAGTGCATTATCAGACCAGGACATTAATATCAACAGAGTACCACTAATTAGGATACACACCCTACTAGTACTTTCTCCAATTTTTGCATCTGCTCATGTGTGTGTGGCTCATGTGTGTGCCTTTTCATCAAAGTGACATTAATTTTAATAATATACTTTATTTAACCCTATGTTGGCATTTCAGCATGTAGCAATAGAAACGTTATTAATGAGATAGGAAGGAAGGGAGGAAGGATTGAAAGAAAGGAGTAGCCTTGCTCACTGTTCTGTATCCCTTGGGCCTAGCTAGTACCTGGCACATAGTAGGCACTCAGTTAATGTCAGTTCGATGTTTGCCATGAATGTTGGATGGGTGTTCCCAGGGCTCAGGATTCCAGGTCAGAGCCACCTGGTGTTCCTGGTGGGGTTGGCTCTCCCCAGGGGTCCCAGCTCTTCAGGTGACCTTGCATCTGCCCTGGCAGGTGGACGAGCAGATTCACGCCTGCTACGCACAGACCATGGCCGAGTGGCTGGGCTGCGAGGCAATTGTGCGGCAGAGGGAGCGGGAGTCCCACGCGGCTGCCCTGGCCAAATGCTCCTCAGGGGCCAGCCTGGATAGTCACCTGCACCGGATGATGCACCGGGACTCCACCATCAGCAACGAGGTGATGGGCGGGTTACCTCAGGGAGTGGGGGTGGGGTGGGGGTGGGGTGTGAAGGTGGGAAAGCCAGGATCCCCTCCATCAGGCTGCGGTAGGAATGGTGCGGGCTGGTGTCTGGGACCTTGGGACAGAGCTTCCCCCCCAGTTTCTGGGTGGAAGGTGACTATGGAGTCTGACAGACCTGAATTTGAACTCCAGCCCCACCATTTCCTAGCTCTGGGGATGCAGGCAAGCACCCATACTTCTGGGCCTCAGTTTCCTCATCTGTCAATGGGAATAACTATTTATCAGGGGAGGTTTTGTGCAGCTTAAAGAAGATAGTGTATATAAAGCACCTACCATAGTGCTAGGCTTTCTTTTATTCAACAAATGCTTATTGAGTGCCTACCATGTGCCAGGTGCTGTCAGGAATGTTTTGGGATATCAGGAACACTTCAGTGACCAACTCAGACATATCTGTTGTCACAGAATCTCCAGTTTCGTGGCCCAAAGCAGGAGCTGAGAAGAAAGTTAATTCTGTTCACTGGCGATGTATCAGCCGTCAATTGCCACACAGTATAACCAACAACCCCCAAAGGTCAACGACTTCCAGCAACACACGTTTACATTCACTTTTGAGTCTGTGGGTCAGCAGGGCAGTTCTGAACTCTGAAGGTCAATTAAAAGTTGACCTTGACATGCTTAGTTGATCTTCACATGCCCTGGTTGACTCGGCTCTGTTTCATTCCCCAACCGGCTAACCTGGGCATGTTAAAGACAGACATACGGGTACACAGGCACTTTTTAAGCTTCTACTCTATGGACTTTGCTAGCATCCCATTGGCTAAATCAGGTCACGTGGCCAAGCCTAGCATCAGAGGAGGCAGGAACTAGAAGTTGTAAGGGCAAAAAGCATTTACTTATATGAAGAGGGAGTAAAAAAATCGGGCCATTCAAACAGCAAGTTCCTGTGTTGAACTAAAACATTAGCCAGCAGTCTCAAGTACAGGACGATTAAAGATGGGGTCTTCTGGTTGCAGGGGTGGGAAGTGGAGGCCCAGAGGCTGCTGCGCCCTCCAAGGAGGCTCCAGGGACCAGGAAGTGAGAGCCCCCACCCTCTGTCGCTTTACAGATAGGAACCTGAGGCCGTGCGAGGGGACTTGCTCAAGTCAGGAATAGAGATAGAACTAGACTTCCTGACCCCCAGCCCAGCAGCCCGTCCTGAGCTCAGTGCAGGGACCCTGGGCCAGGGGGACGCAGCCTCACCCACCTGCCCTCCGCCTCTTTCCTCTCAGTCCTCCCAGAGCTGCAGTTCTGGCCGCCAGAACGTCCGCCTGCAGAGCGACTCCAGCAGCAGCACACAGGTGACCTTCCCGGGGCCACGCCCCATCCCTGCCGTTGCCCCTCCCTCCAGCCTGGGGCAATGGACTAGGATTGCCATAGTCTGTGGGTCACTTTTGGTTTATTTGTTTTAGCTTTTATACTAACATTAAAGATTGAGTTTTTAATTACACAAGTAACGTACGCACCTAATCTCCCTGTAAAAGTAATTAAAATACTGCAGTGAAAGCTCGCTTTGGCTTTGACCATCCTTAATCCCCACTTGCCCTCCAGAGAAATAACACTGCTCTCAGCTCGCTGTGTCTCCTTCAGACCCTCTGTAAGACTTTACATACACAGAAATGTGTAGACAGTGTGTAGACAAGATATTGCAGTGATTGGTAGTCTTAAAATTTCCACATCAACACTATTATGCTTATTTATTCTTCAACAACTTTCTACTTCATGTTAATTCCGTGTTACTCAGTGTTAAAGAGAAAAGACAAGTGCAAAAAATGTGCATACTATGCCACTTTTTGTGTAAAGATAAGAAATATTAATATGTGCAGGTATTTGCATCTGTTTTCAAAAGCAATGGAAGGATAAACCAAAAACAAGTCAAATAGTTACCTACAGATGTGGGGGTAGGAAAAGAAGCTACATTTCCCTGAATATACCTTGTTTTTTAGTTTTAACTTTGGAGTTAGGTAAATTTTTTTTTACTCAATTTAGAGCAATTTAGTCAAAAGAAATTTAAAAAGATACATTTGAAACTTAACAGTAAATCAAGTTAGTGACACAACTAAACAGAGAAGGAATATTTCAAATGACTTGGTCTTACATGGTCCATCCTTGATGAAATATAGTCATAGGACACAAAGAAACACGAATCTTTGGATTTATTCTGGAGATTTTCCCATAGCATTTTATGTATAGTTGACCCTTGAACAACATGGGTTTGAATTGTGCAGGTCCACTTATATGTGGATTTTTTAAATAAATATGTACAGTACTGTAAATATATTTTCTCTTATGATTGTCTTAAAATTTTCTTTTCTATAGCTTACTTTATTGTAAGAATTCAGTATTCAATACATATAACATAAAAATGTGTTAATCGCCTGTTTATGTTATCGGTAAGGCTTCAGGTCAACAGTAGACTGTTAATTACGTTTTTGGAGAGTTGAAAGTTACATGTGGATGTTTGTGCAAGTGGTCGATACTCCTAACTCCGACATTGTTCAAGGTCATCTGTGTATCGAACTACTTCTGAAAATCGATCCATTATAGTCGACTCCATGGATATGATATGCGCTGTTTAGCCTGATCCTTATGTTGTTAACTAATGCTTTATTTAAATTATGTGCACATAAGTTTGTATGATGAAAGGTATTCTCCTTCCATTTAAATTCCTTAGTAACCCCCCCCCCCCAGAGTCAACTGCATGCTTCCTTGTTTCTTTCTGGATTGTTCTATGCATTTTCATGCATATAGGCCACTTTTTTATTCTTCACAAATGGGAGTATGTATTACACCTTGTTCTGCTTTGCTCCTTTTTACTGACTGTGTAGTATTCCATTTACGTGTATGTTCCATGTTTGAACCAGTCCCCTGTTGATGAGTATTTAGGTTACTGCTAGAAGCTGCACCAGGGTCCATCCTAGTCCATCTGTCTTTGCGTACCTTGTCTTCAGGTTTTCGAGTCTGTGGACGAAGTGGAGCAGGTGGAGGCAGAAGGCAAGTTGGAGGAGAAACAGCCCAAGATCCCCAATGGGAACCTGGTGAATGGCACCTGTTCCCCAGACTCCGGTCATCCCTCCTCCCACAATTTCTCCTCCGGCCTCTCGGAGCACTCAGAACCCAGCCTGAGCACAGAAGACAGCGTCATGGACGCCCAGCGGAACGCCTCCCTGGCGCTTCGGCCTGGGGACAGCAGCATCGACGAGGGGCAGAGCAGCGAGGCCACCACGTCCCGGGACGAGGCTCCCCGTGAGGAGCTGGCCGTGCAGGACAGCCTGGAGAGCGACCTCCTCGCTAATGAGAGCATGGACGAGTTCATGTCCATCCCAGGCAGCATGGACGTGGCTCTGCCTGAAAAGGAGGGCCCCCCGATGGAGGGCTGGGGGGGCGGCGAGGCGGAGAAGCGTAGCCAGGCAGACAGCGAGGACAACCTCTCAGAGGAGCCTGAGATGGAGAGTCTCTTCCCTGCCTTGGCCTCCCTGGCCGTGAGCACTTCCGTCAACAACGAGGCGTCCCCTGTGTCTTCCAGCGGTGTCACCTACTCTGTAAGTGTCTAGAATTCTCCTCCACTCCACTTCCTGCTGCTGTGGAGAGGAGGGAGGGTACCGCCACATCTCAGTTATCCAGATGACCCCTGGTTCATTACATTTTCCCAAACACAGAGGGTCTCTGTGGAAACCCATCTGGGGGAGAAGGTGATATAATACTTAAAGAACACGGGCTTTGCATTCAAATAGTCCTGGGCTCTAAGTGGCCAGCTTAGGCCACTTTATAGTTCTGAGCCTCAGTTTCCCTGTCTTCTTGAGTTTTCAAAAGTACTGAGTCGTATCCTCTGTCAATAGCAGCGTTCATGATGAGCATCTTGACTTACACTCAGGTCTGAGCCAGAGGAGGTCAAGTGCAGGAGAGTTTTGTGAGCACTGTGTGTGCGTTTTCCTTTAAAGAACTTGTTACTTCTGTCAAAGATACACATGCCAGTAGCTGGAAGAGTCAGACGCTCAGATGAGGCTGGGTGCAAACACACTGGAAGTTGTCTGTCCCACCTGCCCCCAGAGAGCCCTCCCCAGAGGCAAGAGAAGTTACTCATTCTGCCCAAATTATCTGGTGTTTACCCTCGTGCCTGTAAATAACACACTTGATGCTATGTCTTGATCTTCTTTTAGTCTTTCTTCAGTTTTAGACATTATCTGTTGACTCCCAACTATGGAAGAAGAGAGTTTAGCCCCCTTCCTTCCCCACCCCCAAGTCCTCGCCACATAAGTGGAACCTTTCCCATTCCCTGCTGTCCAATATAGTCACATACTGTATGTTACATTATATCATCTATTAATGACTAATCAGGAGTTTATGTTATTATAATAATATAAGGTAGGCACCATTTTGTCACCTGCGTTTTTTTTCTGCAAAAAATTGTGATCTACTTAAATGTTTTCATTTTCTAGTCTCTTTCTTTTTCTTAGTTTGCTACATATATATTTTTACCTAATATTCATTTATTTATATAATTCACCCCCTCCCCCAGTTTCTTTGCCAGTTTCCTAGGTCTGTTCTGAAACATTCTTGGAGCTTGTGTCTCTTACAGTGTTTGAGGCCTATGGGGACGGTAGATTCCTCCAGAGAGGGTGTTCTTTAGCTGCTTCTTGGTGCCCAGGAGCAGAACCAGCCCGAGGCCACTGTAAATTCAGTCCTTCGCTGGTTCAGACGGCCTGGGCATGGAGATGTGGGGTATCAACTCGCGTAAGGTATAGCCCTGATTTGAGTCTGTTGGTTATCCAGGGAGACATCTTTTACACCTGATTTGGCCCCTATGATCTATATGGGCAGGTGTCCTTGAGACCCCAGGATGTTTTCCCTCACTGGGGCCATGGCTCTTTGGGGTCCTGCCTTAATGTGGTGAGACCTCTTACTAGATTCCTACCTTGAGGGTGGGTGGGACCACAATACCCTTAAATCCAAGCTTAAATTTTCGTGATTTGGCAGGTTCCCTCAAGGAAGAAGCCCGCTTTGGGATTTTCTTGCCTTTTTGGGTTAATGTTTGGCCTTTAAGTGTCCTTTTTGTCTTGCCGTTTCCCCAGGATTGTTGGGTCAAGGCACCAGGTCCGGTGCATCTCCAGAACTGGACTCGTGTTCAGTTCTTCATTCTTCTTAACCAGTTTTCAGCAGAGCGACCTCCTTCCCACTGCAGTTACAACTCTCTCTTAGTTTCTTCACCTAGACGATGCGGATACTAAATCCGTGCACCTTACAGGAGTGTTTTATCCAAGGGAAAAATTTAAAAGACTGTTCATCATCCAAAATGAAAGAGGTTTTCTTAGAAAACAGCAACAACAAAAACCAAATCAAACACCTGCCTGGCCCAGGTAGAGGATGCTGGTTTCAGTGACGTCAGGAGAGGGTGAGGAGGGGGAGGGGGGCCTCTTCAATGAGACAGCCCCTGTGAGGAGCGGGGGTGTAACTGTTCTTTCCCTCCCTTCCTGCGGGTCGGCAGCCGGAGCTGCTGGACCTGTACACAGTGAACCTGCACCGCATCGAGAAGGACGTGCAGAGGTGCGACCGTAACTACTGGTACTTCACGCCCGCCAACCTGGAGAAGCTGCGCAACATCATGTGCAGGTAGCTGGAGCAGGGGCAGGGCTGGATCTGTAGAGAAATGCTCAGTAAATACGAGCTATTGTTGTCCCGGGGCAGATGGGAATTCCAGACAGAGGGAACTGCTAGGGCAGGAGCACAGGGACGTGAACATGGGCTTTATCTGTGCGAAGGTAAGTCGCTACATGGCAGAGGAGGAAGTACTGGGAAGTGATGGGTGAGACTGAGAAGATGGGGTGGGAAGAGACTGTAAGTGCCTTCTACGCCTCCCAGCTAAGGAGTGTGTACACTGCCCTGTCACACGGGGCATGCCTGTGAGGGTGTTTGAGCACGCAGGACTTCAGCTGGGTCATCCTGGCGGCTGGGCATGTGGTGTCTGAAGAGTGTGAGACTGGGTTTGGGGGTGTAGGCAGGAGGCTGAGGAAGTGGTCCAGGTGAGGGACGAGGGACCGAAGCACAGAGGAGGCAGAGGAAGAGTGGGTTGGAGAGGCAGGCGGCAGGTATCTGCACTGAGCCCCTGTGTCTTGCTTGCAGCTACATCTGGCAGCACATTGAGATCGGCTATGTCCAGGGCATGTGTGACCTCCTGGCTCCACTGCTGGTCATTCTGGATGACGGTGAGTGTGTTCTCCCCACCCCGGGGCGGGGGGTGCGGTGTCCTTACTGTGGAGGAAGGGGGGGTAACTTCACTTTGTCAGTCCATGGAAGGGGTCAGTGCCAGTGCTCAGAAGACCTGTCTGGTGAACTCATCAAGGTCCTTGTAAAAAAAAAAAGACACCCTCTTGTTCCATGATGGCCAGTGCTTAATGCCAAGTGCCCAACACCCAACTAGACTGATTGTACGAGCAGGGATGAGAACAAGGAAAAACCTAGGCCCAGATGGCTTCCCTGGTGATACCTATCACACACTTAAAGAAGAAATTATACCAGTTCTTCCCGAACTCTTCCCAAAAAAGTAGAACAGGAGGGAATACTCCTCAGCTCATTCTATGAGACCAGTTATACTAGGACCCATTGGTGCCCTGGTACCAGAACAAGATAAGAACATCAGAAGAAAAGGAAACTACAGACCAATATCCTTTATGACTATAAAGGCAAAAATCCTCAACAAAATACTAGCGAACTGAATCCAGCAAGATATAAAAAGGCTTATGTACCATGACCAAATGAGGTTCATTCTCAGGAATGCAAGGCCAGCTCAATGTATGAAAATCGATCAGTGTAATTCACCCTCTTCAGAGAATAAAGGACAAAAGCCATCGGATTATCTCAGTTGGCAAAGAAATAGCATTTGGCAAAATTTAACACCCATTTCAAAAACACTCAACGAACCAGGAATAAAAGGAAATTTCGTTAATATGACAAAAGATATATATGAAAAACGTACAGCTAATTTACATTCAACTATGAAAGACTGATTGCTTCCCCCCTAAGATCAGGAGTAAGACAAGGATGTCCACTTTTTTCACTAAAGAGTCTAGCAAGGGCAGTTATGGAGAAAAAAGAAATTAGAAACTGAAACCATGTATTTGCAGATGACATCTTGCATATAGAAAATCCTAAGGAGTCATAAGAATACATTAGAACAAATAAACAAGTTAAGTAAGGTTGTGGGATACAAGATCTGCATACAAAAGTCACTTGTAGTTCTATGCAATTGCAATGAACAATTCAAAAATAAAATTAGGAAAGCAATTCCATTTGCAATAGCTTCTAAAAGAAGAAAATATATGTGAATAAATTTAACTTAAGAAATGTAAGATTTGTACTCTGAAAACTATAAAACATTATTGAAAGAACTTAAAAATCTAAATAAATGGAAATATCTCATGTTCTTGGATGAGATAACTGTTGTTGATAAGATGGCAATGCTCTCCAAGTTGATCTACAGTCCATGCCATGTCTCTCCACGTCCCACCTGCCCTTTTTTTTTTTTTTTTCAAAAATTGACAAGCTGACCCTAAAATTCATATGGGAACTCAAGAGACCAAGAATAGTGAAATCACTTTGGAAAAAGAAAGGGTTAGAGGACACACACAATTTCAAAACTCACTACAACATTATAGTAATCAGGACAGTGTAGTACTTCCATAAGGAGAGACATGTAGCTCAATGGAAGAGAACTGAGAATCTAGAAATCAGCCTTCACATTTAGGGTCAATTGATTTTGACAACATGCCAGACATTTCAACTCAGTGAGGAAAGAATCATCTTTTCAACATATGATGCTGAAAACGCTCAATATCCACACGCCGAAGATTGAAGTTGGACTCCTACTCCACACAGTGTACAAAAACACTAACTCAAAATGTATCATAAACCTAAGTGTAAGAGCTGAAACTATATAATATTATTTAAAAAAATGATGTAAGTCTTTGTGACCTTGGGTTAGGCAATGGTTTCTTAGATATGACACCAAAAGCATAAAACTACAAAACAAAAAATGGGTAAATTAGATTTCATCAAAGTTAAAAACTTCTGTGCTTCACAGGATATCATGAGGAAATGAAGAGAACCCAAAGAATGGAAGAAAATATTTACAAATCATATGTATGTTAAGGGGCTTGTACCGAAAATATATAAAGGACTCTTAACAACTCAACAATAATATGATAACCCAATTAAAATGATCAAAGGATTTGAATAGACATTTCTCCATAGCATAGAAGATGTGCAAGTGAACATTCAGCACATGAAAAGATGCTCAAAATCTTTAAGCATTAGGGAAATGCAGATCCAGACACCAATGAGATCTGCTTCATACCCACTTAAGATGGTTAGAATAAAAACAACACAAAACAAGTGTTGGTGCGGATATGGAGAAATTGAAGCCCACCCATATTAGCTAGTGGGTTGTAAAACAGTTGCACCACTTTGGAAAACAGCTGAGCAGCTCCTCATAATAGAGTTACCCTATGACCTAGCAATTCCATTCATAGATATACCCCCAAAACACATGTTCACACAGACACTCATACATGAATGTACACAGCAGCATTATTCAGAATAGCCAAAAAGTGAAAACAACCCAAATGTTCATCAACAGATGAATGCATAAAGAAAATGTGCTGTAGCCACACAATGGAGTATTATTTTGGGGAAAAAATGAGCTGATACATGCTACCATGTGAATGAACCTTGAAAATGCTATGCCAAGTGAAAGAAGCCAGTCACAAAACACCACGTATTATATGATTCCATTCATAGGAAATGCCCAGAATAGATAAGTCTGTAGAGACAGAAAGTAGAGTTGTGGTTGACAATCAAAACAGGAGGAGAGGGAAATGGGTAATGACTGCTGATATATACGGGGTATCTTTAGGACGATAAAAAAATGTCCTGAAATTAGTGTTGGTGGTTGCACAACACTGTGAGAATATTACAGCCACTGAAAACTACATTTAATAGGTAAATTTATGGTATCTGATTCTCAATAAGGCTGTTAAAAAATGGGGAGCACAACTCCCCGCTTCTTCGGACATGGACTGCACATCGTGACCTCCTTCCAAAAGTTCAGTATAGGAGGGGTGGAGGTGAGAAACTGGACAGCGGAGAAACCTGACAAACCCTGCCCCGGCCAGGTGGCCACGGTCAACATTCATAATCATGTATCGTGTTGACCTTTGATGATAATGTGATTAGAATGGCACGTGACCTATGGGGTCTTTCCCCCAGGAAACCCTATTCCCAGCCTTATCATTGATAAAAATATGAGATAGATTTCGGTAGAGAGGCATCAAAACAGTCAAGGTCATCGGAAACAAGGAAAGCCTGAGAAACTCTCATAGCCAGGTGGCACCTAAGGAGACATGACAACTACACGCAGTGTGTTACCCTAGATGAGTTCTTGGAACAGAAGGAGGGCACCAGGTTAAAAAAAAACCCCAACAAACTATGGACTTTAGTTAATATAATCAGTGGGCTATCAGTTGTAACAACTGTACCATACTTACTAAGATGTTAGTAGTAGAGGAAACTGAGTGTGTGGGGCATATGGAAATTCTCTCTACTCCCTTTTCAGTTCTGTAAATCTAAACCATTCTAAAAAAAAATAAAGTCTTTTAAAAAATGAATGAAATCCTACCATGCCTTGGGAAAACCTCTCAATTTTCCCTAACACTAACATGTGTTAAGAGAAAAAAAGGTCCCCTTTTCCAATAAATTTTTTAAACCCTGGGTTAAACAATGTGAAACATTTCTTTATTGCTGGACTTCTCAGAGCCTTTTCTTAATATGTGTAGTAACTCTCAAAGCAGCTTTCTCAGCGTTAGTTTACCATTTCTTTGCATAATGCATGTAAACGCCCTCTCATTATTGACATTTGCTGTTTTAATACAGAAGGTCCCAGACTTAAGAGCTTCATGAACCCTGTAGAATTTCAAAAAGAAAAAAAGTGTTTGGGATCAACAAAACATTGTCATGTTTTTATTATAACAAATAGAGATCTTTAAAACAGAGCATTTGCTGTCTCCATCATTTTCTAAAAGAAAAAATTACTGTCCTGCCTCCAAGGCAGGGGGTAGGTAATCAAGGTCGGAGAGGAGCAGCCGCCATGTCTGCCCACCTGCAGTGGACGGTGGGGCAGAATAGTCGAGCTTCCTGATCAAGAGGAGCATGCGGATGTGCGGCACCAAACCCAACCTGACAGCCCTCAAATCCTTTTGCTACAATGGGCTGATCCACCGTAAGACAGTAGGCGTGGAGCCCACAGTTGATGGCAGAGGTGTGGTCATCATGAAGTGGAGATCTGGTCAGAGAAAGCCAGCCACCTCCTACATGTAGACCACCATCAACAAGAATGCCCTGGCCACCCTGAGCAGCATCCAGCACATGATCTGCAAGAACATGTACCACCTGGATGCGCACATGGCCGCCATCCGCAAGGCCTGTGATGAAGAGGAAGCAGGCCTGCCTGACCAAGAGCTCTTGAGCGTCGTCCACCCCCTACCCTGCCCAAAGCAATAAAGGTGTCAGTGACTTTCCTCCCCAAAAAAAGATTGGAGAGCATGCCTTGAAATGGAACACACTAGCCCTCCATTGTCCCTGTGTTTCTCATTTGTCTGTAGACCTTGAGAACCAGCTCTGGGACTTAGCCTGTCCCCTGGGACCTCCAGTTCTCTGGGTGGTGGCGGGGCTGATGGTTTCCCCTGCACTCTTTCCCCAGAGGCCCTGGCCTTCAGCTGCTTCACAGAGCTCATGAAGAGAATGAACCAGAACTTCCCCCATGGAGGCGCCATGGACACACATTTTGCCAACATGAGGTCGCTAATTCAGGTATGATTCAGTCCTACTCAATAACATAACTCATTCAAACTCAACCCAATGGTCAACTTAATAGTCACACCTAGTTTAACTCAACCCAGTAACTCGGTCCTGCCTAACTCAATTCAGCCCCGCTGAAGGAGTTGAACTCAAAAACTCAATTCAACTTAACTCTGAGTTGAACTAAAAAACTTAGTTCAGCTCAACAATTCCAATCAGTTCTAGCAGATTCATTCTCACTATTTATCCCGGGCACTATGACCACACAATGAATGAGACATCACCCTGGCCCTTCAAAGGATGTTGGATGGTATCAGTCCTTTTCTTCTAAGTAATGTTTGGGTCTAGTTCATGCATACAGACACTCACAGCTTTATTGAGATGTAATTCACATGCCATAAAATGTAACCTTTATAAGTGTTTGATTCAGTGGCTTTTTTATAATATTCACAGTTGCAAAGCCACCATCACTACCTAATTTCTGAACACGTTCATCGTCCCCAAAAGAAACTCCGTATCCAGTAACATCAGTCCCTCTCCCCAGCTCCTGGAAACCACTAGTCTATGCAATGCGTGGCTTTCATGTCATTCACCATAATGTTTTCACAGTTCACGCACACTGAGCATGTGTCAGTACATCATTCGTTTTTCTAGCTGAGTAATATTCCATTGAGTGGATGGACCGTATTTTGTTAATCCATTCATCTGTTGATGGATATTGGTTTGTTTACACTTTTTGGCTATTACGAATAATGTACATTCATGTACAAGTTTTTGTGTGGATGTATGTTTTCAGACATCCTTTTGGGGATATACCTGGGAGTGGAATTGCAGCCACACCATTTTGCATTCCTACCAGCAACATTTGAGGGTTCCAGATTCCTCTGCATCCTCACCAGCACTTTGCTGTCTTGTCATTTTTATTATAGCCATCCTAGTGGGTATGAAGTGGCATCTCATTAGGGTTTTAACTTGCGCCTTTCTAATGACTCATGACATTGCATGTTTCTCGTGTGCTTATTGGCCATTTGCATATCAGTTTTGGAGAAACAACTGTGTTAGGTTGAGCTAGGTTGACTTCCACTTCAAATCCTTTGTCCATTTTTTTTAACTCCAAGTGGTTGGTAAGGACTGTACGGTGTCCAGTATGAGGACAGAGCATCATTTATTCAGTGTCTGGTCTGGCCTTTTCCCAGGAGGCTGATGCCCACCTTTGCTTCCTCTGACAGATCCTGGACTCAGAGCTCTTTGAGCTAATGCATCAGAATGGGGACTACACTCACTTCTACTTCTGCTACCGCTGGTTCCTGCTGGACTTCAAGCGAGGTACAGGCCTCAAACCGGGGCCTTGTTCCCAGACTCTCTGTAGCAGAACCTCACGGGGAAAGACACCACTGAGCAAAAGCTAGTGGAAGAGAGTAGCACCCATGTATCGAGTTCTGATTATCGGTTCACCTGCCTTATCTAGCAGTGACACCATGCAGCGGGCATTGTTACAGTCCCCATTCTACAGATGAGGAAGCTAAGGCTGAGAAAAATTGAGTTCAGAGCTAGGAGGCATAGAGCCAGGATCTGAGCCCCACTCTGTGTGTCTCCTAAGGCCAGTTCCCTTCCCCTCTATCATGCTGCTCGTCAGAGACCAAGAACTCTGACACCCATGGAGCATGTTTTACACGGGACTTGGAAATCATGTCTATCACAGTACATTGCTATTGTGCAAATTTGGGGTGATGCTAAGAATAACGCTGACACATAGGGAGGGGTTTATTAAGAGCCAGGCGCGGTGCTGGGCCATTTCTGTGTATTATCTCGTTAGTCTTTTACTACTGTCAGCATCACCATGTGAGAGATGAGGAGAGAGAGTAACTAGAGCAAGGTGACCTTGCTAGTAAGTGATGGAGCGAGGATTCAGACTGTGTCTGTGGGATACAGAAAGCCTTGCTCTTAACCATTGCTCCCTTCCATCTCTTCGCTAGACCCAGAGGCAGCAGTCAGTTGTGTGTGCAGGTGGAAGGGGAGATACCCCATGGGTGTTAGAGGAGCTGGAGGAGGGTACAGGGAAAGAAGGGGACACTGGTCAAGGGGCAGAACAGGGACAGGTCAGCGTTAAACATGTACATGCTCTGTTCCTCCATTTGCAGGATGTTAGAGCTAGAAACTTAAAAACACACTTGATTTGCTTTGCCTATCCTCCAGATACGGAAAACTGAGGCTTCTGAGGGTCAAATGTCAGAGTCCAGGTCCCCTAGTCCCTGGCCTGAGCTCTGTCTGCTGCACCAGGACAGAAGCTCAGGGCACACCAGGCCTGGGACTTTCCCAGAGGGCGGGCAGCACCGTGAGCTCTGTGACTGACACCCTCCCCCCCGCCCCAACCCCGTGTGTGTGCACATTGGTGTCTTGACAGAACTTGTCTATGATGATGTCTTCTCCGTCTGGGAGACCATCTGGGCAGCCAAACATGTCTCATCCGCCCACTACGTCCTGTTCATCGCGCTGGCTCTGGTGGAGGTCTACCGCGACATCATCCTGGAGAACAACATGGATTTCACAGACATCATCAAATTCTTTAATGGTACCCCTGCGGCCAGGGCCCCTTCTGAGGGGTGTGGGCTTCTAGAGGACCCCTTCCTGGGGCTTTGGGAGGGAAGATGTACTGAAATTAACACACAGTGAAGGGGATGGAGGGGGGTTCTGTTCACTTCTTGTGTCTCTTCCCAAATGGGTGAGTTGACATCTTGCAATGCTGAGGGTGTGTTTCTCTCAGGGACCTGGCGGAAGGAGTCAGGTGTTGGAATCAAGCTCAGGGCAAACCCTGGCTCTGCCACTGACCAGCTGTGCCCATGGACAAGTCACTTGTCCTCTCGCTCAACATCTGCTTTCTCCTCTGTAAAATGGGGTAGCAGTGTCTGTCTGCGTCAGGGGGTTGGCAGCTGCAGGAAAAGCAGGCCAAGGAAGGCAGCTGAAGTGATGTGGGAGAGGCAGACCTTGGAAATCCAGTAAGATGTGGATTCTGATTCCAGTTCGGCCACCTGGGAGTTGGGGGATCTCGGGCACAGGACTCCATGTCTCTGGGATGGTGCTTCCTGGGGTATAAAAATGCTGCTAAGACCTCAATCAGAGAGTTGTCAGGAGCATTAAATAGGACGTGAATAAAGCCGGTCGTGTGATACCCGGCCCATTTGAGGGGCGCCATTGCTAGAAGCTGTTGTTGCTATTATTATTGGTAATGTTTGGGGTTTTTTTTTAACTAAAGGTTTTGGAAAAAGCGAAAGAAGAAAATAAGCTATCTGTGACCTTCCCCTGGAAACATTTTTTTAATTAAGCTTTTTGTTTTAGAATAATTGTGGACTTACAGAAAAGTTGCAAATATAGTACAAAGTGTCCCTGATACCCTTCACCCAGCCTCCCCTAATGTTGGCGTGTTAGCTGACGCTAGGATACTTGTCCTGACTAGGAAGTTAACACTGATTCGTTACTAGGAGCTAAACTTTGGACTTTGTTTGATTTCACCTAGTTTTTACTCCATTTCCTCTCCCGCTCCAAGAGCCAAGCTGGGAAACCAGGTTACATTTAGTAGGTTTTGTTTGTTTCTTTTTTTTTAACATTTCCCATTCAGACTTTTCCACAGTCATGGATATTTTTACGTTATTACCATCATGGAATCCAGTTATATCTAGTTTGTTTCCCCACTTAATCATTTTAAAACTGTCTTCTTTACAACCACTTTTAAGACTGCAGAATATACCTCAAGTGACTGCCTAACTCACCCCGCCCCTGTTGCTGGGCAGCTGGGCTGCCGTCAGTCTGCAGGTGGGATCGAGAACACACAGCGAGTCGTGACTTGCCGTAGGGGCTCCCACGCCACTGCAGTGCCTGGCCCCTCAGGCCGGGACCTCCACTTGGCCAGTAGTTAGGTCCACACCACTTAAGTATTTACACCCTGACAACTTAGTAGCCATTTGAAAAAATAATACATAAAACTCAAAAGAAAATAGAATGTTTAGTTCATTGTTAAAGAAGTACAGTTCCTCATGGGATGTGTGCATCCGTTGGGCTCCTCACAGCGTCTCAGGCCTTGGCATCAGGCTGGACACCCCCACCTTCATTTCCTGTGCCTCAGTGGTTTCCACACAGTCCTTGCCATTTATCGCAGCAACCGCTCGCTGAAAACCTGGCTGTGCCAAGCTGTAAAGTCATCGGTGGGAATGTGATGTAGTTTGTGAACTCACGCCTCATGTTCAACCGAGGTGCGCCATCGCTGTGTTTCCCTCAAAATTTTTCTGAGTTCACAGTGGCGCCATGAGGGACTGTGGCACCCAGTTCCGGAGCCATGGGCTTACTGTCTTTTTCCTTCACTAAATGACTTCTTTATGACATGTATCTTAGGTTAGGGTTATTCTGCCTTAAAGATTGGATCATTTTGTGTGGCTGTTGATAAAATTACTATTTTTACTTTCTGTCCTCCCTTCCCCTTCTGTTGCTTCCTTCCTTTTATACTTGTAAACACATACCATGTGCCGAGCACTGCTTTCTAAAGTAGTTCCCAGTTACTGAATTTTAGGAAGGGGACGGGAAGACCTAACTAACATCTGTAAGCACATGCTGAACCAGCATCATCTTGTGGAGCAAGTACTGTTACAATCCCCATTTTACAGACGAGGAAACTGAGGTCCAGAGGTGCTGACCCTGCTTTCAAAGCCCCTCTGGCTTTGACACCAGATGACAATGATGGGGACGCCCTGCAGTCCCCTCTAGGTGCTGGAAGTGTGCCCTGAGGATGGGCACAGAGGGAGGCTCATGGGATGTTGCCTTCTGCTCTTTCAGAAATGGCCGAGCGACACAACACCAAGCAGGTCCTGAAGCTGGCCCGGGACCTCGTGTACAAGGTGCAGACCCTGATTGAGAACAAGTGAGGGCCGTCTCGCCCGGGCAGCGTTGGCCAAGCTGCCGCCTGCCTGTCCTGCCCACTCTTCCTCCCGGCCGCCCCGGGAGCGAGCCCCTGGGTCTGTTCGTGAGCATGGACTTCTGTGCAAAGAGAAGCCGCCCCGACGTTGGCCGCCGGGCAGGTGGGGTCAAGGGGTGGTCCCTTGAGTTCAGCCTTACGCTTTCCTGTTTGACCAAAGATCGCCCATGTCTGGGATTTCTCCTTCGCGGGGAGTTGTCGGTGGACGGAGGGATTGTCCCTGTTCGAGGCCTCCGGGATGGCCTCCTCTCTCTCCTTCTCCCACCCCTCCAAACTGTCTTGTCAGATGAGCCTTGGGAATGGAACTGTTCTAGAAACTGGTGTAGGAGGTGTCTGTGGGGCCACCTCTAGCCTCTGACAGGGGCCTTCGGAGATGTGCCAGAGCACGGTTTCTGCACCTCAGCACCGCTGACACGTGGGCTGGCTCATTCCCTGGGGCCGGTGGGGCATCCCGTGCACTGTAGGGTGCTGAGGAGCATCCCGGCGCCGACCGGCTAGATGGCGGCAGCACCCTCCCCCCGCCCCCCGAGTTGTGACAACCCAGAATGTCCCCCGATGTGACCAGATGTCCTCACGTGGGACCTACTGGCTCAGAGGAGGGGCCACCAATGCGTCCCCCAACCCCTTCTCTTTCGACCTAGGCCGCCTGTGTCCGGAGGCTCCCTCCCTCTTAGGAAAAGCACACGGAGCCCTGCTCACATCCCCCTGGGAGGGCTGCGGTTCCATTTGTTGTATTCTCTCATTTTTCTCCTCCGCTTTGCCCCAGGAGAGACTTCTTCTTGTCAGGAAAGGTGTCTTTGGAATCAGAGAAGTGTGTGCAGCCATGAGAAGGTCAGGGGCTTTTCTGAGACTGGCCCCGAGCCCCCCTGGGCAGGGCAGAGTCCTCAGCCCCTCCCCCTCCCTGCAGGAAAGACCTTGCCTCTCCAGCACGCTGGGCCTGGTGCTTCAGAAGCTCGGGACGTGTGTTGGTGCAAGCCATGTGGTCAGGGAGGCCAGCTTTTCCCCAAGTGCCCTTGCTCACTCAGGACGAAGGAGGAAGACAGAGGTCAGCCAGGGTAGATGTGTGTGTGTGTTTTCCACGGTGGCTAGGTCTGGCAGCGGTCCCCACCGTGTCTTTTCACAAAGCGTCGCCAGTCCACAAACAGATCCTGAGGGAGGTAGTTCACCTGCCCGCCTGTCCTTCAGGAAAGCGGTCCTGCCAACTCTATTCTGAGAATGCACCAGAATCGGGAGAAACAGTCGGGGAGGGCTGCCCTTCCCAAGGGTGGCAGGTAGGGTTGTGGCAAGTGGACGAGACAAATAAAGCACATGGCGGCGTTCGCACAAGGGGTGCACTAGTCCTGCCGCCCCGAGCAAACCAGGACCGGGGAAGCCCCTGCCCTGCGTGTCGGCGAAGGCTCTTCCCTCCGTCAGCGCCTGCAGCTGCGTCCGAATCCCCACCTTCCCCCGCGCGGGGCCCCTTGGGCAGGACCGATGAGGCCCCGTGGCCCTCGCTTCCGAGGACTGTACGTCTTCTCACTCTGGTCCCCCAGCCTGCCCAGATGGGGACAACTGTGCAAAAGTCCCCTCCAGAGGAAAGTATATTTTGCCACAAAGCTGTTCATTACAGGGGACGTTGGGTTAGCAAGGCGTGGGTCCTCAATCTCCTGATCCCCGTTTTCTGACAGACTAGTCACACAGCACAGCACAAGATTTCTCCTCTGCCTTCTCTCGTGGTGTTCCAGAGAAACGTCTGTGGTCGTGGTTCAGAGTAACTCCTATTTATCCAGCTTACTGTGCTTATTCAGGTCTCCGTATGTCGCGCGTGTCCCTGTGTCCTGGAATCGAGCGTGTGGGGGTCGTCCTGTCCTTGGAGCGCCCTCCCTTTCTCAGTGTTACCAGCATATCTCGTAACTGTTTACTGAAAAGTTGTGTCTATATGGAGAGAAAATATATATAAACAGAGAAACGCGTGAAGCTGGGTTGTTTTTGTGTCTCTGTTGAGGGGAATTTCCTTCATTTGAAAGAAAGAAATGTTTGTTTCTGAGACTGTCCTCCCACGCCCACCGCAGCGTCTCACGCGCGGAGGGGGCAGATTCTCACAGTAGCTGCCTGGTCTGTCCCCACAAAGTTCAAGGCAGATGAATCACTTTTTATCCCTTGTATCTTGGCTGTTCCCAAGAATAACGCTGCGTAACAAACCACCCCAACCAAATCTAGTGGCGTACAATAGACATTTATTTAGCCTGCGATTGTGTGTGTCAACAACATGGGCTGAGTTCAGCTGGAAGGTTCTTCTGGTCTTGGCTGGGCTTCTTCGTGTGTCTGGATCAGCTGATGGTCAGCTGGGCAACGTGGCTTCCGACACCCGGCTGGCTGTCGGCTGGGGCAGCGGGGGAGGCTGGGCCACATGTCCACCCTCCATCAGGCAAGCCCAGGCTTGTTCACACGGCTGTGGCGGCAGGTTCCAAGAGAGCAGGAAGTGTGCAAGGCCTCCTGAGGCCTAGGCTTGGAATTGGCATCATTTCTACCATATTCTCTTGGTCAGAGCAAATCTTATGGCCAAGCTCCGATTCAGAGAATGGAGAAACAGATTCCACCGCTGGGTGGGGGGCTTTGGAAAGGGGGTGGATACAGGCAGCAGAATCAGTGAGGCCACTTTGCAAACAGGGTATACCACGTACACCAAGGTCCCTGCGCAAGACGGGTCCCCAGATGAGAATGATTTCCTAGCTGTGACCTCAGTTTCCCTGAGTTCCCATCACAACAACCAGATGAGGTAGGCAACATTTCACCCCCCATTTACCGAGGTCCGGAGAGGGGAAGTGGCTTGCCTGAGTCACGAGGAAGCAGCAGAGGTGGGGTTTGAGCCTGGGTGTGTGGTGGTCTCATTGAGCCATAACACAGGCTCTTTCTGCTCCTCCTGGGGTAGTTTTATTTGCTTGCTTCTGGCATCACGATGATTTTCCCAGTGTTGCTGGAGAAGCGGATGGTCCTGCCCTGTACCTGGGTCACGCTGCGTGGCCACCGGATCATGGGCAGCAGGCTGGCCAGGACTGTGCTGAGGATGGCGGTCACGTAGCCCCAGCCCAGCCGGCACTGTCCACTGCGGTACACGGAGGAGGTTCCACAGGCTTCCTTGGCAAATGGGGAGGCCAGGCTGATGGGGAAAACCAGCAGGCCCACAATGGTGGCAGTTACTGGAGGGAACAAGGAGGAAAACCAGTGTGTCGCTCAGGGCTCTGGGCTCACGTTCTGCCCTGAGACTCACTAACTTACCCTCCTTCCCGCCACCCACCCACCCACCCATTCATCTATTCATTCACTTATTTGCCAACTCATCTATCCTTAACAATTTTTGTTTATTAAAGTGTAGTTCACATGCAATATATTAGTTTCAGGTGTACAACATAGTGATTTGACATTTATATACCTTACGATGTGATCACCACAATTAAGACTAGTACCCATCTGTCATCATGCAAATTTAATATCGTAATAACTCATCTTTCCTTTATCCTCCCATCCTAGGCTTGCACCTTATCCTTCCATTCAGATGTATTCTCATCCACTCATTTGCTTCCTCTATCTGCCTGTCCATTCACTCAAACATCCATTCGCCTGCCCACTTAGCCACCTGTCCCCCATAACCATCCATCCATCCATCCATCCATCCATCCATCCCCCTGCATCCTTCATTTGGCCAACCATATCCCAGTCTACCCATCTTCTTATCCCTCTATCCACTAATATACCCATCATCCATCTCTCAGTTCATCCACTCACCCACCCACTTATTCATTCACCAATCCACCCATTCATTCATCAAAACAAGAGGACACTGATGATATGGAGGAAATGGACCAGGTACCCCCCCGCCTTAGGCACTCCCAGTGCAGGAGAATCAGACACACCCTCAGCCTCCGCTGCTCGCCGGCCACACTGGTCTACCTGCAGTTCCCTGCGCATGCCTTGCTCTCTTGTCTCCATGCCCTTGCCCCTGGTGTTCCCGTTACCTGAAATGCCCTTCTACATTTGCCTAACTCCCACGTGTCCTCCCAGACTCAGCTCAGGTGATGTCTCCTCCTGGAAGCCTTCCTTAACATCCCCCGCCCTCCTGGGATTTCTCCCTGTACCCTGTGCTTATCCCTCTTGGGCAAAATCGCCATTGAGTTGTAAATGCCTGTTGTACTTCATCACCACTGTGCACTGTGCAAGCCTTGGATAAGGTCTGTATCTCCATCCACTGAATCAACAAATACTTAGTGAGTATCTGTGATGTGCAAAGCACTGTGGTAAGTGCCGGTGATATCAAGACAGACATATCTTCGCCCTCATGGAGCTGATGTCCTAGTAGAGAGTGATGGACAAGAATCAGGAAAGCACATAGGAGACTCTGGGTAGTAAGTGCTGTGCAAGGCTTAAAGCGAGGTAAACAGGAGAGTCTGAGAGGGGAGCTCCCTCACCTCAAGGCCACGGAGGAGCTTGCTGAGGCTGAGATAGCTGAGCAGAGCCCTTAATGAAATGGGGAAGCAAGATATGAGAAGACCTGAGAACGGAGAATTCCAGGCAGAGGGAACAAGCTTGGTGTAAATGAACCACAGAAAGCAAGCTAGGGGGGCTGGAGCACACAGCCTGGCAGAGAGGGTACGAGATGAGGTTGGCGAGCGAAGGGGGGTTGATCAGGTGGCGCCTCACAGGTAAGCAGTTTGGATTCTGCTCTGAGTGTGACAGGAAGTCAGTGAAGGGAGGACAAACCTGTCTTGAGTGGCAGGATCGGATTTCAGCTTTAATGGGACCCGTTTGGCCAGGGTGTGGCAAACAGACTCTAAGGGGCAAAGGTGGCAGCAGGGAGACCGGGGCGGGGGGGGGGGGGGGGGTATTGTTCCAGTCCAGGTGAGAGAGGGTGGGGAATTAACTGGGAGATGCTTTGCCGTCAACGCCTGGGCTTGGTCATCCAGAGACTGGGTGTGAATTAGAGAGAAGCAGCCTCCCAGCCTAGGAAGGGGAGCGGAGGCTGGACGTCAGCACAGCAGCCCTCAGCTGGGCACCCTCGGGCAGTGCCCGCCCGGCTGAGTGTTGTGGTCCACGGAAAGATGATGCAAAGTGGATGCATAGGAGAGAAAGGAAGAGGGACAGACTGTTAGGACTGGGTTTAGCTTAGGGCGGGCGAGGGTGATGTTAGAGATACCATTCGCTCTCTCCCCCCATTTCTGGCTCGCTAAAGGACCAGGAACAGTCCACAGTCCTCGGGTTTATCTCTGAGATTGGACCCAGGAGGCCAGACTCTGCTCACAGGTGTTCCCCCCCACCTTTCATTCATCGCTCATTCGCTCCACAAGCACGTCTGGAATGTGCGCTGGGGGACAGTACATTTACCTGCAGCTGCCTGCACCCCCGGCGTTTTGCCGCTGCACCTCCTTGGGCGCAGCAGCTCTGTGGGGGCCAGGGCCCAGGCCAGGAGGAGAATTGCATTAAAGGCCAGGAGGAGCCAGCCTCCGAGGAGAAGCGCGGCTGAGGCCTTGCAGGAAGAGAGAGGAGAGAGCGTGTTGAGTGGGGTGGGGGCGGGAGATGCGCCCTCTGCTCACTGACCAGCTACTGGGTTCCGAAAACCCCAGGAGGCCTGTGCTATTACTACCCCTATTTTACACATAAACATAAGGAGATCCAAGGAGGTAGAGTCGTTTGCTTCAGGGTGCACTGCTAATTAAGAGGGAGAGCCAGGATTAAGATCTAGATCTACAACCACCACACCCTCCCTATAGTGGCGCCCTGCTAAATGGCGGGATCACCAGGGGAGGCACCTGTGAAACTACCAGATTTGAAGGCTGTAAAATCTTCCTTAGAGGTATTGAACTGGGAGTCCTGGCCCATTGTCCCCATGGTCAAATTTGGTAATATGCCTCATTAACAGAAACTTTCAACACCTTAGCTGAGGTTTTCCAACCTCACAGTGCTTAAAGGGTGGCCAGGGAGGAGTGTGCACGTTATACACTGCCCAGCTCTTAAGAGATGTTTTGAGATTGTCATAGATTTGCATGTTGATTACAGTAATTCTCCAGCAGATGGCAGTATAGTGTCCTGAAGAAGGGGCACCTTTTCTAAATTTGTATAAAGGTGCTATATGAGTTGACAGCTGCTTTTACAACCATCCTGGGTGCTTGCTAAAATGCAGATAGCCAGACCCCACCCCACACCTGCAGAGTCAGGAGCTCAGGCTGGGGTTGGGCAGTTGGCAGGGAGTGGTTCTGAACTTGGCCTCGCTTCGCTGTCTGGGTTCAATAGTGCCCCCAAGGTCCCAGTGAATTGATGAGCTGAGGACTCACCTTCCAGGCGAAGTCAGGAATGTCATCCAGGGACCCGAAGGTCCCACAGCTCTGGTTCCAGCTGTCACCCTGAGGCCAGGAGCAGTAGGTGAGGACGCCAAAGGAGAAGGTGGGAGTCTGGAACCAGGCCGGGGAGACGAGGCTAAGGGCTGAGATGCCGGTCAGGGAGAGTCCCAGAGCTGCCCACATGCTGGCCCCCATCGTGGACCATCGGTGACCTGGGGGTCACGGAGCAAGGTGAGTGGCAGAGACTTCCGGGGCAAGCAGGGAAACGGATGCTTCAAAGGCGCCCCACCCCCAGTCGGGGACCTGGTCCCCTGTTCCTGCCCCAGGTCCTCAGCCTCCCTTCAACGGGAAGCAGCGGGAGAGGCCAACAACTGGAGTGGAGGAGGGGTTCGCCTGAACAAGTTCTGGAAGCAGAAACCCCAAACCTCGGAGCCCTCCTCCCACACACAGCCCCTCCGACACACACGTCACCCAACACAAAGCGTTTAGGACAGAGCGTAGCACTGCAAGGGCCATGGTTAAGAGCAACTGCTCTGGAGTTTTCCAGATGCAGAAGGCGGATGCCATGGCGCCTCGGGTGGTCCTTGAGGGAGACACTCGGGGGTGCCTGGACCCAGCTTTCAATGTCACTCCATCATAGGATGCCAGAATTAGCTCTCAATTCTCCGTCAGTCCCTCTCTTCACGTCAAAGACAAAGTCTCTGTGGAAGACGTGGGCCTTAAACACATCTCAAGCATTTGCCAATCTCTCCCTTTATAAAGGACGGGGACCCTTGAGCAGAGAACAGAGTCAAGTGAGAGTCTGAGGATGCAGCTGGATTTTCCTTGTGTTCGCTGTGGTGGATTTGTTTTTGGCACGATACTGGTTGCCCATGTACAATGAAAATTTATTTTAATGAAAAAGTGAATCAAAATTTAAAGGTTTGCCCCCATAGTAATGGAGGTGATAGGACGGTGGTGTGCCCACGCTGTCACTGGTAGCCAGGAGTGAGCCCAGAGGGTTGAGCCTACCCAAGGGCACCCAAGTTCAAAAGCAGCTGAGCTGCCAGCCAAGCCCATGGCACCTACACAGATTTCCCAGGACCAGTCAGTCCTTTGCAACCTTGGTTTCACTTTGGGACGCAAAGGCTGGCCGGCACGTTAAACATGGCAGGAATCCTGGGCTCTGAGGCCAGCCATTCACTCTACCGTTCCCCAGCCGCGTGGCTGCGGCAAGTTGCCCCATTCCTCTGAGCCTCAGTTTCTCCACCTGAAAGCAGATCAGAAATCCCAAGGGGCAGGTGGCATTGGGTTCAGTCACTGAGTAGGGTTATGTGGTAGCGAGAAGCAGACAGACCACACCCTCTCCTTCCCAGCTCTACAACCTTGGGAGTGTCCCCTCGGCTCTCTGGAAAATGGGGGTGGGGTGGTTGTGAAGGGTAAAGAGGGTAAAATCACGTGTGGGGCGCAGGGGGGAGGGCGAGAGAAGCCTGGGCAGGTAGGTCAGGGTTGCATAGCATAGACTTTTTATTCCCAGGATGAAAATAACCTCACGGCTGCTATCCAGCAAGTGAGATGTGGCCCTTTGAATGAGGGAAGATGGATTTTTTTTCCTTCCTCTACCCAAATCAGCCTCTCCTTGGGGTTTGGCAGGATCCCAAGGGGTGTAATTCCAGCCAGGAAGCTGGGGAGCCCAGAGCCGACCGAAGCCCGTGGTTTTGCCTCTCTCCGGCCGCCCCAGTGGCTCTCGGGGCGTTTCTGACCTTGAAAGGAGTTTTGTTCTCCAGATAATGTGCTCAATGTCACCTGGGAAAATCACGCTGACTGTCCAGGTGCCCAGAAAGCTAAATGAGGCATTATAACCCAAAACCACATCCGGCCAGGCCCCAATTAGCTGGAATCCAGCTAAGCGGAGCTTGCAAGGGGCTGGGTGTTTGCTCCTCCAGCTCAGCATTCACTGCGAATGGCAGTCAGCAATTCCTGAGCACTCACCAAGTGCCATGCTAAACACTTGGAGCACCTTGTTCCATATAAGCCTCACGGCTGCTGGATGTTAAGTCCTGTCATCATAGGTCCCATTTTACAGGTGACAAAACAAAGGCTAATTTTACACCTGTCAAAGTGAGTGGTAGGCGAGGGACTTAAACTCAGGGAATCGGGCTCCTGCCTGGGCCCTAAGCCCAAGGTGATATTAAAGGGTTAGGTTAAAAGTCAAATACCCCAGCGGTTTCCTAGGGCTGCCTGGGTAGCCACCCCTCCCACAGCCGCAGCCGTGCACACACTACAGTGAATGTAATTTCAGGGGCCCATTATGGCCCCTAGTTAGTACTTTCCTCTCTCCCCGCTCCTGACCTCTGAAAACTCCTCCTTCCAGACTCACCACACCGCAGGTCTGGACCCTCTCATGTGGCCTCTTCTGCTCAGGCTCCAGTGCCGGACATAAGTCTGTGCTCTCCTAAGATGCCTCCTTCCCTTTGAAGGAGACACGCAGGTTGGTGAGCAAAGCCCAGGTGCCTGATAGGCTCTGTGTGCGTGTATTTCTCCCCAGTTCCTTAAGTCAACAAGCTGGGCAGAGGAAAGAGCCAGCCCCAGATCACGAAGGGCTGAGGGTGTGGTGTTTCCGGGGTAGGAGAAGGTTTGAGTAGAGATTACCGGGCTGCAATGCAACCCTAGGTGTTGCCCTTCTGGCCACCGGGCTCTCTACCTTTCTGCCTGGGAACAGATTTGCATGTTTCTCTGGCTCCAGAGGATACTCCCTGCAGGCTGTGAACTTCCAGAAAGTGATAGGCACTGGATCTGAAATGTCTATCCCAGCATCCAGCGTAAGACTTTGCACCGAGTGGGTGCTTGTTTTGTCTTTTGCTGTATGTGATGGAAGTGCAACTCCCGACTGGCTCAAGTGGAAATGCATTGGGTTACATAACTGAAAATCTTATGGCACAGCTTCAGGCACAGGTGCACAAGCAATGTCTAAGGATCCCCGCCCCGCCCACACGCCCTCTCCGTCTCTCAGCCGTTTTCTGCTGGGTTGGCTTCATTCTCAGGCACATTCTCTCTCAGTGTTGGCTGCTGGTGGCCCCAAGCTCACCTGCTGAGGCTTAGCAACCCCAGATGTGGGCTGGGGGAGAAGCTCCTCTTTCTCTGCACACAGTGGCTGCAAATATTGCGGTGAATTCTCAATGGGCAAACTTGGGTCACGTGCCCACCCATGAACCAATCACGGTGGCCGGGGAAATGGGAAGTTCTGATTGGTCAGACTTAGGTCCTGCAGCCTGGGATTGGGGGTTGAGGGTAAGGATATCTGGAGGTTCACGCCACTGGAACTGTATGGAGTGAATGTGGGGGGGCGGGGGGAGAGTTTCTAGAAGGAAAACCGAGGTGCTTTTAGCAGAGGATGGGGAATGGATGCTGGGCAGGTGAGAACAAGAGGTGTCACTATCATGCTAGGAATGCTGGCGTGACCAACGAGCACACACCGGTTGGTGCTGTGAGAATCGGGCCCGGTGAAGCCCAAGCCGGAGGTTCCAGCCCCAGCTCTGCCAGCTGCACTCAGTGTGGCCTTGGTGAGGGCATCGCGGCCTCTCTGGGCCTCAGTTTCTCCACCTATAAAAGGAGGACGCCCGGAATCGGTGATTGCCAGGGGTCTTCCTCATTCATTCAATCACTCATTTAAGTGTTGTTTCCTTTCAGTGCATATTTGTGCAGGGGCTTTGGAGTCAGCTCGAACTGGGTCTGAATCCCAGCTCAGCGCGACTGGCTGCATCAGGCCTGGGTGATGCCCTTTCTCAGCTGTGCCCAGCTCTGTCCTCTGTGGCGCTGTGCGGCCTCCGCTTGCCTCCCCCTGCAGGCGGCCTGGGTCAGTTGCTGCAGCCCCACGCCAGCTCAGGCTGCGGAGACATGGCTTGAGTTGTGACCCGGTCTCCCGACATCCTCAGCGGTTATCCCAGCCACCCGGATCGGACGCTTGGTGGGGGGAGGGGGGAACCTCTGGCGCCTCCTCTTCCAGACTCCGGAGAAGAAGCTGTCTTCCCTCGCGGCTGCCCCAAGTCTCAGGTATCACAACCCAGAAGAGAGGAGCGGTTGGGCCCGACTGTGACAAATAGCTCGCAGGAGATGGGACGTGCTGCAGATGAAGTTCTTGCCCTTCATCTGCAATGTTTCTCAAAAAGTGGCTTCTGCGGAGACACCTGAGTGACGGAACTTCCACCCCCACCCCCGCCTTTTTTTTTTGAGACGTTGTGGCCAAAAGACGTAAGCGTGTTTTGAATTTGCTTTCCTTTTCCTTGCCTCGCAGTCCCTTTTCCTGCATTATTTATTGGGCCCAATTACATCTCCAATAAAGCATCGGCATAGAAGTTTCATCTCAAGCTCTGTTTTCCAGGGGAACCCAGGCTGTGTGGCCCTGAGCAATTTACATAACCTCTCTGAGCTTCAGCTCTCTCATTTCTAAAAGGGAGATAATAATAGAAGCATCTATTAGAAGATTGTTGTGGCATTTAATGAGGCATCACAGGTGAAGTATTGTTCTCGGCTCAATAAACGACAGCTTTCATCGTATCTTTACTGCAACCAGATGCTGGATTGTATCATGTGCAAACATTTATTCACCGTTGAATTTCATGAACATTTATTGAGTGTCAACTCTGTTTCAGGTTCTGTGCTAGTCTCTGCTCCCAAGTTGCTCACAGTCTCGAAAGTGAGACAGAGGCATAATTGGGCAATGATACTACAGCATTAACGGTACTTTGGAAGATTCAGTGGCTGCCGCGTGGTGGTCAGGAATGGTAGGAGATGGCTTCTCAGGGGAGCTGACATCCAAGCTAAGATCTGAAGGATATGTAGTTGTGACAGATGACGGGCCAGTGGAGGGCGAAGTGTTCCAGACAGAGCGCATGGCACAGGCAAAAGTCCGGGGCTGAGGAAAAAACTTTCCAGAGATTATATTGGCTGTTTTTATCCAAAATGCACAAATATGGTCTACGTCAAGGAGCGTGTGGGTTCTAGAGCTATACTGTTCAATATGGTAACCATAGCCACGTATGGCTATGTAGATTTAAACTAATTAAAATGAAATGAAATTTAAAATTCAGTTCCTCAGCCACATTGGCCGCATTTCAAATGCTCAGTAGTCATCTGTGGCTAATGTTACAGTGCAGATGTAAAGCATCTCCGTCACCACACAAAGTTCTGTTGGACAGAGCTGCCGGGGAGTCGGA